TTGCTGGGCTGTCCAGCCTTGTTCTTCGATTGAGATGGCACAGTCAACAGCCTTAGCAAAGACTTCATCCACACCGCGCATTTCCTTGCTACTGCACTCGGCGTATGTTGCACCCATCCGTTGGGCGACATTTTCGCCTTGCTCTGGTGTGATGGGTGTCAGGCCTTGTGTCTTGAGGAGTTCAATGCAAGTTCTCTTATTGCGCAAGTCGGACTTCAAGCCAACGAGGATAATGGGTGTGGTGGGACAAAAATGCAGAACCTCGGGATACCACTAAAAATAGATACGTTAGACAAATCAAGAAAAATAGTTCCAAATTTAGAACTCACCTTGTCAACAACATTCTCCAATGATGCGGGGCAATCGATAGCAAAGCAGACAAACAGAAGATCAGTCTCGGGATAGGACAATGGACGCAAACGATCATATTCCTCCTGTCCAGCAGTATCCCAGAGGGCTAATTCAACGGTCTTGCCAGAAGCCCGATGGGTTGTTTGGGTGATGTAGTTCTCGAACACTGTGGGGACATATTTCTAGATGATAATTAGCACCAAGAACACGTATCTTTCCTCGCAGATTGAACGTACCTCTGGGAAGTAACCTTGGGAATAGCTGATCAACAGACAGGTCTTGCCACAACCACCGTCACCTACCACTACAAACTTTTTTGAGAATGAGGGCGGCTGAGTGATATTGGTTGCCTCGGACATCCGTCCGCTGGAGACACTGGTATTGGTGCTGGCAGTGCCGTGGCTGACTCGGACACTATCGCTGCGCGCTCGACTGTGACGCGGTGTCAAAGATGGAGGAGGGGTGGCGAGAGAGCGGCGGCGCGAAGCCGCATAGTATTGATCTTCGTACATAGCACTCATGATGAGTAGGGGCAGGGGTTGGAATGTCCCACGTTTGTAATGTGATACAGGGGGAAACGGGAGTGATAGTCTGATAGGATGAAATTGGTATGGAAGAATTAAGAGACAAGAATGAAGAAAAAAAGAGGAGAAGATAGATCTAAAAAAGATCTAGAGGATCGATAGAGCAAGAGGGTCTGGCGAGACCCGTGAGACCCGTGAGACCCGTGTTTACACCGGGGCTACCATAGCAACGACCGTACCTCCATGACGCCAGGGCTCCGCTCCCCACGATCAAAGGCCTCGATATCCTATATGCTACCATTGACTAGGTTTACCTCGATCCTGTTTTGATTCGACTCCGCTAATATAATCTTGTTCCCCACCGTTCAGCTCACAACTTCCCAGCTTTTTTTTCCTTGTATGTTTACCCGATGGTCATGTGATCGTAGATCTTTCCTAGCATATGACTCCCACTTTATATTTATTTTCACTACAAAGTAGAGATCACTATGTATGGAGTATATATTAGTGTAAGCTATGATAGCCTATGTTTATATTGTATCTTCTATAAGGCCCAGATCTAGAGAAAGGCTGTAAATTCGAGCATCTAATTGAAAATCGACTGCTCCGTAGTCGAGCAAAAAAAAAAAGTACAAATTGGGTGCCACACTAACTCTGCATGTCATCTTTTTACCTTTCGTTTATATTTTGAGGTCGGAGAAGACCGACAGCCGCAAGAGCCTCCAAGATACGAGGTCACAATAATCTTTCTCTTGATTATTATTATAACATTGTTTTTTTTTTCACTTTTTTTTAATACTATTTGGGATGTTATATGTACGAACACTCCGATGTGTTTTTGTTCTTTTTAGATATCTTTTTAGAAGACGATGAAAAGCATAAACTGCGCAGAAGATAGCAAGAGAGTCAATTGAAATCTACTAGAGACCCTACTAGATCGGCATCGGATTCACATGTACATATCTATCTAACTAACTGTCGACTTGAAGGACTATCTAGTGAATGATAGGCATATATACCGAAAAACTGTAGATCACATATAATTTACTCTGCACAGAAGATGATCTACACAAATGAGATAGTCTATCAAATTACTTAGCAAAAATCGAGTCCAACCTCTAGGGCTACGATGGATGTATATTCCATCCATGGATCCTCGGCGGACAATGGCAATGTGACTAAGCACACACATGGCCGGGCAGGCTCCCAGGCTCCGGGCAGCATCAGGGGCTTGAGCCGCGGATGACCTGTCTTCCCTCTTCACTTTGGATAATCCTATTCAACCTCGAGTTTCTCGATTATATCATTTGCTAATTCAATCCAACTTCAATTCGCTCCTTATGTTCCGAACCCTATAACCCTCAAACCTCAAACGGATCGGCAGGCAGCGGCCTGTCTATCTATGGAATCCATCCGATTCCGACATTCTCTGGATCGATAACACTGCATCATGGGCACGAGCAAAACAGACCAACCCGATGCTGGGCTGAAGAGTTTGAATCACTGTATGCGACACCTTTCTTTTTTTTGGTCCACCCGTGGCTTATCGTGATGTGCACTAACCGCCGCGCGTTTGCGACATAGATTCGAGTCAATTGCCCCTCTGGCGGTACTGGCCGCGACAAAAGCTCATCCCGTTGATCCGATATGAGACGCCATATTTAGCTTGGGTGCAGGAGAAAGTGCGCACCCCAACCCTCGACTCGTATTTCGCGTTCACGGCCAACCTCGGCACCCATACGTTTTTCATGGTCTTTTTACCCTTCCTCTTCTGGTGTGGTTCTCCCAGTATGGGTCGGGGGTACGTCTTCTTTCTGGAATAGAAATCATAAGTGGAAAGACTGTGGCTGACAAGTATTGCCTACAGATTGGTACACATCTTAGCATCGGGCGTGTTTTGGAGCGGCTTCCTCAAGGACTTGCTATGTCTTCCCCGCCCTCTGTCTCCGCCACTGCAGCGAATTACCATGTCCGGTTCCGCAGCACTGGAATATGGGTTCCCTTCGACACACTCTACGAACGCTGTCTCGGTTGCTGTGTATGCTTTGGCCCTGCTTGGTTCACCCGATTCAACTCTCAGCGCACAGGTCACTTTTTCACTCCAAGCTGTCACCTATATCTACGTCGTGTCTATTGTATTGGGTCGACTGTACTGCGGAATGCATGGGATGCTGGATTGTACTGTTGGGTGTGCTATGGGCGCGGCCATCGGCCTCATACAATTTCATTACGGACCGGCCTTTGAGGAATTCATTTTATCTGCGTCGCTGAAGGAAATTTCCCTACTGGGGCTTCTTATTATATCCCTCGTCAGAATCCATCCGGAGCCGGCCGATGATTGCCCATGCTTCGATGATAGTGTCGCATTCGCAGGAGTCATGCTAGGCGTGGATGTATCTTCATGGCACTTCGCCGATATCTGGGTCGGTTATCCTTCTGGATCAATTCCCTACGACCTCGAGACAATGGGCTGGATCAAGACTGTCGTTCGTCTGGTCATGGGCGTTTTGTGCGTTTTTGCTTGGAGAACTGTAACAAAGCCTGCTTTGCTGCGCATTCTGCCCCCTATCTTCCGGACCCTGGAGAAGCTCGGTCTTTTGCTACCTCGGCGTTTCTTCACTGCTGCATCGTAAGTACTAAGGTTTGAATGTTTTTCATGCCTGTGGACGTTATGCTGATCTGACCCTAGTAAATATACCACTGTCCCCTCCAACCTGAAGGATCATGACGTTCTTCCAGACATTTCTGACATCTCAAACATCATTACCACAATGCGCCATCCTCGCCGCCGAGCAGTTTCAATTGGTCCTCAATCAGAAGCTGATGCGTATGAGACCCTGGCATACCGGGAAAAACGCCGACGCGAGAGTCAATCTGGGAGCAATCGTCCTTCTCCAGTCGCAGAGGGTCCAGTGAAGTCTAATGGAACGCCCGTGCTGTCGAGAAAGGCGGCATCACTGGACGATTACGAAGGCATGATGGGAAGAGGCAGCCCCAGTTCGTCCGGAGCGGATATGACTTTCGACATGCCGACAACACCTTTTCCTGAGTTAGATTTCGAGGCTGAAGAGCGAGATGAGAAAGAAGTGTTCTCGCAGATCAAGAAGCCCCGCGTGCGGTACGACGTGGAGGTAGTGACAAAACTGGTTGTATATGCGGGTATGTGAAACCCCTAGATCTTTGACACAACCTTTGCTGATATTAGTATTCTTTAGGTATCCCATGGGTGGTCATCGAAGTTGCACCCCTGTTATTCGACCTAATCGGACTTGGAACACAATAATGAGAATGAGAAATGTATCGATAAAAGTGCAATTAGCCTTGCAGTCCCTCTCTTCTTACACCCACCAACTCTTCCGCCTGCTCCTAGCCCAGCGGGCTGTGCTGGAACAGGCCACCTTAGAAATATCCTTTACGTTGCCTATGTACATACGCATTGAAAGAAATATCCATAGGTTCATTCTTTGGTCTGGCCAGACATCCTGCTCAAACACACGGATGGCACCAGCCGCATACCATGACATAGATAGAAAAAAAATAAAAGGCACAAGGACAAAGGATGATCAAGTAAAGAGACATACAATCGCAACTCCCTTTGAGGCTGTCTTATGGTGAAGGCTGTTTAAAGGGTCCGCCACAAGGCAATTATTAGCTGAAACACCAAAGGACATTAGACGAGAGTAAAAGGAAGCTATATCTAGCGGAATTTGAAGGACAACATTCAAAGAAATCTCCTCTTGAAAAAGATAGGCAAACAAAGAGTGACAATGTGTACGGAGTACATACACCAATAGGTCAAAGCAATAATGGAGGCTGGGGGCTGGAATATGTGATGAGTCAGCAGAATGATGAAAGAACCCGCCGCGTCCGTTCATATTGTTCCCATACCTCTTCCTCTGCGGAGTATTTGCCTTCGATTCTGGGTTCGGGATAGATATTCCAGTCATGCCCAATGATGGATCTTGAAGCCTTGTCTTCATCTACCCACTCATCCCTCCTTTTTCACACCCTCAACCTTCATTCAACCACCGCCAATCTATTTGAAAGCGCGTCATCAGACGAGTAGATCGCTCTCGACTTCCTTGCTCCCCGCTCGTTCGTCGTGACTTTGTGTTTCACATCAAAATGGGATTCTTTCGCTGGCCTCGGTGCAAGCGACGCGCCTCCCCTACGAAGCCCACGAAGCCCTCGCCTAAGATTCCTAATCCCTTTGAAGCCTTGAAGCCTCTAATTGCCCACGATGGTAAGAAAGCTCCTCTTTGGAAATTCAAGTCGCGCATACTAACCTCTAGCCTAGTCTTGGATAGTTCTCAGTTCCACGTCCCAGGAGCCTTTCCGACAACTCCACCTGAATCACCTACCCTTGTTGTATCACATGGCGCAACTATCGAGGAGGAAGATGTCCCACCGAAGGGGTGGGAATTTATGGACATAGATGCTCGCGCAACACAACCACTTGTTACAGATCTCGGCCCACATCTCCACCCTCGATCGCTATCATACATCTCACCTCTGCCGAGGGCTAAGCGCAGTTTATCGCCACGACCAACCAAAGCCCCGAAGCCCGCCGAAGATGACATTATGGATATCGATGACCCTTGGGATCAACAAGCTCAACAAGATTCAAGGGTTCCTCATGGCCCAGTTTCCGCCGTACAGTTATTTTACGCCAACAGGAGACCAATTCCTGCCAATCGCATTGCATCGTGGTACGAGGCGGAATTCGAGAGACGGGAGAAAGAAAGATTAGCCCGGGAGCGTGATCAACGACGTCCAATTAGAGTGATGCCAGCTGGTCAACCCGTACGTCCGATTTCGCACGAGTGGCTTGTCAAACTCCAGCGAGCCATGCAGAGTGGACAAGGACAGGCCGTCGCCAAATCGTTAGCCGGAGACGATCTGTACCAGCGGGATATTGTCACATGTATTCGCCCTGAGGCCTGGCTCAATGATGAAATCATCAATGCCTACCTTGGTTTACTCGTTCACTACCTCCGCCAATCGCACGGAAACCTCGGGCCCAAGGAGCGGCCACATTTTCACGCCTTCAACACCTTTTTCTACTCCACCCTTCGTGATAAGGGATATGACGGCGTGCGACGGTGGGCCAACCGGGCCAAGATCGGTGGGGTAGGACTGCTTGAGGTCGACACAGTCTTCATCCCTGTACATGAGTCAAGCCATTGGACCCTCCTGGTTATTCGACCAGTAGAACGTACAATCGAGTATTTCGACTCCCTTGGATCTCGCGGTCTTCGCCAAGTGAAAACTGTCAAGCAATGGCTTCGTGGGGAGCTTGGGCCAAAATATAATGAGGAAGAGTGGACTGTCCTGCCATCAGTCTCTTCTCAGCAAGACAACGGAAGCGACTGTGGTGTCTTCCTCCTAACAAATGCTAAATCAATCACTGTTGGGATTGAACCTACCGCCATTGGCCCACAGGACATCACCCTTCTCCGCAGAAAGATCGTTGCTGAGCTCATGAACGGAGGTCTTCAAGGCGAGTTCGACCCACAAGACAGAGCAACAGGTGCAGTGTTGCTCTAAACGAACACAAAACAAACCAGTCATCTATGACTACAGAAGCATAGCCTTCTCTGGTCGATCTCTTGCATTGAATTCGGCGTTCTGCTCACCTTTCTACATAATATCGCATACCTCATCCATCCCATACCCACCCCCAATTATCCATATCAAGTACCATCCTCAAGGCGTTTTCGGTCACCATTACACATCTGATATTACGGCGCAAGGCGAACCCACGGAAAAGATGAAAATAAGGACAATGATTTTTCTTTGGTGCGCTCTTTGTGATGTTTGCAATGAATCTGAATGATACCCCCACGGTCACCACCATCATGGTGACTCAGTTGCTACAAAAAAGCTCCTTCTCGCGGACTCGTTTGATCATATTTCTCTTTTTTTCTTGGTACTCTTTTCCTTTGGTATTTTTTTATCTTTTACAAAGTATCAAGGTTCTCTGCTGCCACTTGTAGAGTCATGTATTTCTATTTTGTGGGTGTTCTGCTTCCATATGAATATACACAAGAATTTAGCATTTAGTGCAAATAGAGTATCATCCTGGCTTAGAGAAGTTGAGACTGTAAACATACTAAATCTAGTAAAGATGGCAAATCAGTGAATGTTTATTTATTCTCTCCAATAAAACAGTCATTCTGTCCAGAACTAGAATACAGAACACCCATGCCAGTCAAAGCCAAGTATCCAACAACCAAAGTATGAATGAGCGAAGCTGATAATGATACAAAGTCTCGCCAGAAAACCCTCAAAGTTCATCAATGTTGCATGGTCTCCGACAAAATTCATTAAGAGGCCTGTTCCTCCACTTCTTTCTCCTGCATTCGCGGCCCTGCCTCCCTGGTTTGCACTTCTCGTCATTTCTATCTAGCTCCAATGATTTCCCATCGCCAAGAGAATCGTTTGTGGGGGGAGTCTTTTGATGGCCACCATGATTTTGCGAAGGAGACATGTAAAATCCCCTGGAAGCATCAGAAGAACGGTTGTAGATCAGCTCGATGTATTCGATGCCCATGTATATACTATCGCCAATTTTCATGTCGCCAGTCCAGAGTCCACCGTTACTCCAGAGATTGATAACAATCATGCTCCCCATATCGGGAACTCTGTATGATTTGGCATCCTGTATCCGATTGTTGACATACCAGCGCGACATGTTCGAAAGCCAGTCAAGGCGATGTGTGGACCACGTTGTCCATGGGACAGGTACATCGGCAATGGTACTCGCACCAGGGACCTCTCGATCATGAGTGAAATCGTAGTCAGGCTGATTGGCATAGTGCACGCGATGGGATGGGTCCCGCGTTAGAATTTCAATGTCTGATTCGCAGGTTTGATCATGGTAAGTGAAGATGCCAGCACAAGCACCGTTAAGTGGCCTGCCATCACGCAGCGGAATCGGAATCGTCTTATTCGAGAGCACGGTGGGATGTCTTTTTGGATCCCGTGACGGCCATTCTTGAGGCTGAGGGGGTTGCGATATGATAGAGCCAGCCGGTAATAAACGAAACCGGACACGCAACGAGCACCGGTAGATGTTGTGTACGCGAGTCTCAATCTCCGCGGTGGAGGTGTATTCTGAAAATCGGGTGGTGCGCAAAACAAGATACGTCGCATGAGGATCACGTTGCTCATGGTCCCGGGTGAGAAAGACGTTATGCTTCGAATTTACCATGGGAACCGGGGCTCTGGGGGTGGCCCGGCGTTCCCAGTTCTGACTGCTCCAGTCTCTCTCAAAGGAGGTTTTGTAAAACACCAGTGATCTGGGGTCCGGGTCCTTGGAATCATGGGCTCCAGGTGAGAGCTGGCCATTGTCTAGGTCTTGGCCCTCACCCTCATCATCATCATCCCAGTCCTCGTCGCCGTAATCGATGGGCTCTGATAGGTTGAGATTGGCATGTTTCTTTAGATCCACTGCCCGAAAGTCCCAGACTTTGTAATGCTGGAAGTATCCTGGATCGGGCCCAGATATTGTGTAGCAATCGCATCCGCGAGGGCGTTTCTTGGCTGGTAATTGTCGTGGTGCTTTAGCATCCGACAAAGTTGACGTTACGGTGCCGAGACAGATCAAGGCCAACCCGAAGGACAAAATGTTGATTCGCATGGTCGCAGTAACAGGATTTGAGATTCCCAAGGTGACGGGTGAAGCGAAGGTGAACTCGGAAGGTCCTTGTTTGAGTCCACAGGAAGCCGCGCTGATCGTGATTTCCTCAGTAAATATATGTGTAAGCCTGTATCTATTGGAACCTGATACATGTCCACGGGTATTTCTTCCGAAAGATTGACACTTTGTATAATTGACTGACAATTAGCTGTCCCTAGGTATCGTACATTGTCTGGTAGATGTGCCAAATTGGCTAACATCTTCTCATATCTCTTTTCATACAGTAATAATTCATTCCCCTGGCCCAGTCTCCGGCACTAATTCAAAAAGATCTTGCTTCAATACCTCCAATACCAGATTCTCATCAACATCTTGAAGATTCGCCGATGAAGCGGGGAGCTTTTCGTTTCCAGCCGCGTCATCATCGTCACTTGTGGTGGAAGACTGAGCCGTTTCATCTGGCCCAGCGGTGCGAAGATAGTCTTCCTCCAGAATGAATTTGGAGTTATCTTTGTTTGCAAATAGTGTCTCCGCTGATTCTGGCAGTGCATAAATCGTAGGGAACTCCAGGACAGTCCGATTGCGAAGAATAGTATTAAGCGTTGAGGATTGCAAGAGAGGAATTAAGACAGGTTTGTTGGTCGTGGTTCGTGGACGGTGAAGGTAGAAGTAAAGACCACGGTGAGGGGAAATGGTCTTATTTGATGCTTTATCCGTTTGCTCAATTGAGGTATCTGTTGGTTCCTTTGCTGGGTCTTTGATCGGGGATGGTGGTGGTTTTGTGTCTGCCGCTTCAATCTCTGTCGTGGCAGGAGCACCAGGTGTAGCGATAGTTGTATTAGCGGGGTCCAAATCTTCTATTTTCTCTTCCTTCACTGGCTCGATAGCTGTCTCCGGATCTTTGGGGCGTGGGCAGCATCGATTATAGGCTTCAGCAACAGAGCATGTGTCGATGACAGTATCACGAATAGTCTTCACCCCATCAGCCGTAATCCACTCTATAGTCCAAGCAAGACGCTTATGTCTTGAGAAACACCCAAGTTAGTACAAATTCTAAATCAAAAGACATAAAGACACGAAACTCACTTGGGATGCAAACGCGACCCATTCTGCTTATTCCTCGACATCCCCTTCGGGGCTCGGAGAACTCTCACACCAGCAGTCTCGGTACCGCGCAAGAACGCAGCTTCGCCCTTGGCAAGGCCCTGGCTCGGGTTCTTCCTCTTACGGCCGGCAGCCGGATGCTGGGAACCTTCCGAATTGCCATCATCAGCCTGGGCACCGCTCGTAAGATCAATCCCGCGGTTATCGACTTCTCTCTCCGCGCGCTCGAGGGTGCGCTCGATGCTGGTGATGAAATTAAAGTCGCGGTCGAACGCAGATTCGGTATTTAATTCATTGCGCTTTAGATATGCGGCTGGGTCGCGCACACCGGAGCATTGCGACCAGAGTTTGTGGCGACGTGTGCAGGGTAAAGAGCAGGTGCGTGTTGAGCAACGTGGACAGCGGTATTTGGGAGGATTCACATGGCTGTACCGACATAGGTTAGATTCAAGGTATACCAAAATTTAATTGTTCATGTGTATACCATATTGAACAGAGATCACTAAGCAAGGGATCTGTGTCGGCCATCTTGATTGTTTGACTGATTATGCGTTAGAGAGTCGGACATTTCTTGGAATGATGCATTTGATAGGAAATTTATTTGTCTTATCGATAAGCGCCTGAGGCAGAGATCTGGAACTAACGTAATCCACTACCGAGTGACGCACACTACCGAGTGACGCACCCCCTCCCAAAACGCGTCAATTAATATAACCCTCTCTCTTCAACCACCCACTATGCCACCAATTCGTTCTCGATCGTCTAAAGATTCAACCGAGCAAGAGGGTAGGATCTTATTAGCTATCCAAGATTTTAAGAATGAAAAATTCTCTTCAATTCGTGAAGCTGCGCGCTGTTTTAAAGTGCCTGAGGCTACCCTCCGCCGCCGCCTCCGGGGTGTTCAAAACCGCGCGATTTTACGCGCTAACTCACATAAACTGACTGAGCTTGAAGAGCAATCTCTTGAAAAATGGATACTCTCTATGGATCTACGTGGAGCAGCCCCCCGGCCTGCTACTGTACGAGAAATGGCGAATCTTCTTCTTGAAAAGCGCGGATCTAGCCCGGTTCTTTCGGTTGGCGAAAATTGGGTTACAAAATTTGTTAAACGACGTCCTCTTCTCTCCTCTCGTTTCTCGAAACGTTATAGCTACGAGCGTGCGAAATGTGAGGATCCAAAAATTATAAAGGAGTGGTTTGATCTTATTCAAAAAACTATCCTACAATTTGGGATCGATCCGGATGACGTTTATAACTTTAATGAGACGGGTTTTGCGATGGGATTAACGGCGACTGCGAAGGTTATTACGAGAAGCGAATACTACGGTCGGCGAGCACTTTTACAACCTGGAAATCGTGAATGGGTGACGGCTATTGAGTGTATAAATGCTACTGGTTGGGCCCTTCCACCGTGTGTGATTTTTAAAGGCAAAGTCTTTATTGAATCCTGGTTTGACGGCCTCCCGGACGATTGGCGATTTGAGGTTAGTCCTAATGGATGGACCTCTGATGAAATTGGACTTCGCTGGTTAAAAAAGCTCTTTATTCCTACCACTTCTATACGTATGAAGGGGGTATATCGGCTTTTGATACTTGACGGCCACGGAAGTCATTTAACCCCGAAGTTCGATGAAATCTGTGAAGAAAACAAAATTATACCGATCTGTATGCCTCCGCATTCCTCTCACCTTTTACAGCCTTTGGATATAGGCTGTTTTGCGGTGTTAAAACGCTCGTACGGCCGGCTGGTTGAAGCAAAAATGCGGGTTGGGATAAATCATATTGATAAACTTGATTTCCTCGAAGCATACCCTCTCGCACGAATTGAAGCTTTTAAATCAGAGACTATTAAAAACAGCTTCGGAGCAGCTGGTTTAGTCCCTTTTACACCGGAGAGAGTGATTTCGAGGCTTAATATTCGTCTTCGAACCCCTACCCCCCTTCTAGCCGGGGTAGTGATTGGGATCCAAAAACACCTTCGAACTATGTGCAATTGCAAAAGCAAGCCTCCTCAATAAAAGCACTACTTCGTACGAGATCAAGGAGCCCCCCTAGCCCGCTCAATTCCGCTATCAACCAGGTTTTAAAAGCCTGCCAGATCACGATGCATTCCGCCGCACTACTAGAGAAAGAAGTGAGCGATTTACGCGCTGAAAACGAGAAGAAAAAGCAAAAGCGAACCCGATCTACAAGGACGATAGTCCACGAAGGGGATCTCTCAGTTCAGGATGTTCGTGAGCTACGTTCAGAGCCATTTGAGGCTCAAGTAGCGCGTATCAACAACTATCGTGAGCAGGTTTCGGAAGGTTTAAGGCCGCCCCCCCAGGCTGGACGAGCATGTGGAATATGTAGGAAGCCAGGACATAGGAGAGAGACATGTCCAGATAGATGATGATTTTAGTTTATTTAATTTAATGGCGTTTTGGTTGAGATAAATGCATTTGAATTCAGGAAGTTGGGTGGGGGTGCGTCACTCGGTAGTGTGCGTCACTCGGTAGTGGATTACGTTATACCAATCATTTCTCCAGACAGATCTCGGAATGAGCTATCAGCAGGATTATTCATCTGCCAATGGTCTAATTCTCCCTTGGATGTGATCTTTTGCGGGGATAGACCAGTCCCGTTCTCTGCAGATGATATCATCTGTGGATGTGATGATCAATCCCCGCTGCATTTCTAAGCTTCGGTGATATCTTCCGGGCCGACGGCCCTTATTTAGTTGTTTAGATTCCTTGATTCCACCTGAGTTGCAAAAAGAATATTTATATACTTCTCAGATCAAATATGGCTACCAAAGCACTCGCGATCATTGCCGGCGTTGGCCCTGGCACGGCATGTCAACTTCTTCCCCTCTGCCTCCATGTAAGGCAGGATTAGCTGACCAAAGAGACAGGGCGCCTCGATCGCCAGGAAATTTGCGAAGTCGTATTCTGTTGTAGTTCTGGCTCGAAACCCAGACAACTACGACCCAGTCGTTCAAGAAATCAATTCCAGCGGCGGCCAGGCCATCGGCATCAGTGCTGATGTTTCCGACTCGAAGAGCGTCAATGCTGCGTTTGACAAGATTCAAGCGCAGTATCCTTCCTCGAAGGTAGCCGCCGCTGTTTTTAATCCAGGCGGCGGCCTAGTGGTCAAGCCATTCCTTGAGCTGACGGAAGAAGATTACTCGACTGCACTTGGGTCACAGGCGTACGTATTTGCTGTCTCGTGTACTCCCCTATTTTAGTCCATTACAAGCTTGATATAGTCTACATCATTCTTGGGAATTTTGCTGAATCGCTGGCTCTCACATCAGACATGGCGCCTTCAACTTTGCCCAAAGAGCTATTCCGCTGCTCCTACAAGCTCGCGAATCGTCAGAGTATCCGCCCACACTGATCTTTACAGGGGCCACTGCTAGCCTTAAGGGCTCAGCTAAGTTTGCTGCTTTTGCTTCAAGCAAGTTTGCACTGCGTGCGTTGGCGCAGTCACTTGCTCGTGAGTTTGGGCCGCAGGGCGTACATGTCTCGCATACTGTCCTTGACGGTGTGATTGATATTCCTCGTACTAAGGCCTGGGTATTTGAGCATGAAGATGCGAAATTAAGCCCCGACGCTGTGAGTCTGGCTTCATTGGTTGTTTTGCTTTGGACACTTACTGGTTATAGATTGCGGAGTCATATTGGTATTTGCATACTCAGCCACGCACGACATTTGCGTTTGAGTTGGACCTACGCCCTTATGTTGAAAAGTGGTAGGGGCTTCTCGGGAAACTTTCTTGGGTTTTGCGAGGAGTTGAACCTGATCAGTGAACGAGAAGAGCAGGATCTGCAGAATGAAGATAGTAATCGCCACATGTGCATTTACTGATATTGTTTCTTTTTGATTAATTGGAATTTAAATTAGGTATTTGAACTTTCATACACATATTTCCTGCCTAATTTCAAATATCTAAAATATCTAAAGTAGCGTTAGGGTACTGGGTTAAGGTACTGGGCGTCGGAGGGAGGGTCGGACGAAACCATTTTTATGCAACTGCTGAGTCAGCACATAACGTCACCGTCTGGGGTCATTCCAGACAACTGCACCGTCAAGCTCCCCAGAGCTCTCACCTGCCACCTCAACCTTCTTCAATACCCGTGATATTCACCATGAGCTCCGACAATGCCTCACCACAGGCAGGTCAGAGCTATAGCAACACCTCCTCAACCAATGACTCCCCCTCTAGCCGCAACCCCGCAACCTTCAAACACCTCAACATCAAACTCCGGGAAGAGACAATTGTGAGGCCTGATCTTTTCACACTGTATTTTGGATTCTTCGGCGAAGGAGTCTGGAAGCACAAGGTCGCGAAAACAGTGAATGAACGAGTGGAGAACCACTACGTGCTGACACAACGACCCCCAACCCAAGATGAGCTCGATGCAATGGTTGAGCACGGAACGCGATGCCTGTACCAAGCGCGGACGGGTGTACCCGTAAGCTCATTCATCGGAACGGCGCTTCTCTACGCCCAAGCACGCAGGTCGCCAAACTTCCCGCGCAATCCCACGCCAATGTCACTGTTCAACACGTTACGAGCCATGTCTAGCGCGCCCACTTTCAAAACCACCGTCGGGTCAGCGGCATTCAAAATGCTTTTTATCGTTACTCTTGGCGGCATGGCATCGAGTGCTTACGCGGTTTCCCAAGATGCCATGCACATGTTGACAGACCCTCGACTGAAGCAGTTTATTCAGGACGTACGTAAAGCGAAACCCGAGGATGTGCGTAAGCGCAAGATTGAGGCCGCTCATGAGCGCATCCGCCATGGGCGCAATAGTGAGCAAGGTATCGGCTCCCAGGTCTTCGGCACGCCTGGTGGGTATGGAGACAGCAACGGGTACCCACAGGAGCAGGCGTCTTTCGATCCTGTAGGGCAGCCAAATTCTTACTCTGAATACGTGAATTCCAATGATACCCAGGGGGACTCTCAGTCTGCCTCATATGGGTCGTCTAGATTTGATTCGAACATGGGTGCGGTCTGGGCACGCGGCAGAGGCACTCAACCCGAGTCAAAATCGGCTTTGGATTTCATGGACGAGGACGATGCTAGCCCTACAGCCGCGGAATATCGGGATACAAACATTGATGGGTCATCGAATGGCAGTGCTTGGGACCGGATCAGACGACAGAATGCTGCGGCACGTTCTCAGCCTCGATCCCAGCCCGGCATGTCACAGCCTACAATTAACCCTTACTCTGTTGGGTTTGGTCAGAGCGATCAAGAAAAGTATGACTCCAGTCAGAAAACTGAGAGGGATCAAGCACAGGCAGACTTTGATAGGATGATTGAGGCAGAGAGGAACGTTGGCAGTGAAGGATCCTCTCGGAACCGAGGGTGGTGATCTTGAGGATCTCTTGAGTCCTTTTCTCTACTTATCGCTGTATGTACAACTATGTAATTTCCAGCCTTTGAACATCTATTTTTATATGAAAACATCTTCAACTAAGAAACAACTGATACCGTTATCATTAAGCCTTTGCAGGCATATATGTTTAGCTATGGTGACCCTGGTGAAGAGAGTATGAACCAATGAAAACAAGATTTTTAAAGACATCGCTGTCTACAGTCTTGAGAAGGAAAATATCAAAATCAGAGACTAGGAGATCGGGCATTCAATCAGCCGTAGGATTAGGGCTGATGACAGGATATGGTATTTGGAATATAACTTGGGGCACATAACTCAGAAAATATCAAGCAGAACGAGAGAGGGTATGAGCCCTTAAACAGGGGTAATATCAAACCGAGGTCAATGGGCAGTGAAAACATGATGCGTGATGCGTTGAAATCCAGGACATTGCAATTTCATGATAAAAACAAAAACAATCAAAAAGGGGGGGGGGCTCACGATGCAAAGAGAGGAGAGAAGAAAAATAACGAAGACTACCAAAAGATAAAAAAAAAGACAACGGAACACTTGTTCGTTGGCCATCTGGACAGTTGAGCCCTGCTAGGGCTTAAACATAGTTCGGACCCGGAGCGACATAGCTTTGACTCGGCAGAATATAGTTCGAGTTCGACCCAGCAGCATGCGGGTTTAGACTCTCATAGGGAGCCATTTCCGCTTCATGAGCCTGCGTCCAAGGCTCGACACTGCGACTGTTATTGCGCATACGAGTCAAGCTGCGCAGCTTGTTCGTGAAGCTCTCATTTGAGCTGCGATTTCGGCGATGATCAAAGGACATCCGACTACTCGACTGACGGGAATCCGTTCCATGACCGTTTACATTGAGAGCCGGGGCAGCAGTCATAGCACGAGGGAGAAGACGACCGAGGTCTTCGTTGTTATCTATGGCGATGTCGATTGTTGCAGACGACTCGCGCGGCGAGACTGGCGCTGCAGAGAATGGGAATGGGGGTGGTGGGGGTGGAGTGTTGAGATGCTGCAGCTCTGGGAGAATGGGCGGGGGTGGTGGAGGGGGGATTGTCTCATAGTGCGATGGGGGTACTTCCTGCATTGCGTGCTCGATTGTCTCTTCAATGCTCACTTGCACGTGGGGGGAGGTGCCGGAGACGTAGCTGTTTGAGCTGGTACGTTTATGGCCCTTGCCACGGCTGCGGCTGCTGGACCGGCTCCGAGGAAGTGCTGGGTTAAACCGCGGGTGCATTGGGAGGTCGTTGGGCATTGAAGGGGCGTTGTACTGTGCTTCTGGCACGGGGACGGACATCGATCGTCCGATTCTTTCGGCATCTCCTTGATATCGGGCATTGCTTAGGAACATACTATTATCTGTGGGAATGATGGGCACAGAAGGAGGTCGCTCTTCGTCTTGCCCAGTTCCTCCGTACTTGGGATGCCGCATTGCTCGAGGAGTCGCCGGAAGCCCGCCGGGCATTCCAGAGCGTGAAGAGTTCGAGTCAGAACTGCTGGGATAGTCGGTAGATACCTTAGTTGGGGCCATCTTATTTCGCGATGGAGCCCGTTGGAAGTATGAACTCGTACCAGAGAAAGGCGGAGAATTCTCAAGTGGACTTCTTGCACTTTGCAGTTCGCCCGGGAAGGGGATATTTGGTGCTGATGGGTTGCGCGCGAGTGATAATCTTCGTGCTTCTAATTCCGCAGCGGCAATCTCTCTTCGCTTTTTCTCCGCGAGGGTGACGAATGGTGTCCGTGGGGATACAATTTCTTGGAAGTCATTGGCTGTTGAACTTGGTTGCCCGTTAGGCCGTCCATTGGACATGTCTTCCTGGCCGAAGACCTTGCTGCTCAACTGCTCTGGCACCGATGCCTGTTGCGCCCAGGAGTCGGATGTAGGCCCCTGTTGGATCACCGAAAGACTCTGCGATGTTTTGTGTCTGGATTCTGGGGAGTCTGTTTTGGAAGTTGTGCCTTTATCGGCGCGACGTCGACTGGCACTTCGGTGGCGAGACCGCAGTCTCTTTTGGTTACCCTCGACGAGTCTCAAAGGGTTATCGACATCCTGAGAAGGTTCTTCTGTAGGATATGCCATAGGAAGAGGCGACGATGGTGATCGAACACTAGATCCTTGTCGATCATTGCTGCGGCCTCGAATTGAGGCGTCTCGTTTGTCCATACCGACGCGGCTTGCGGTGTGTCGACTTGAAGAGCGCTGACGGTTCCGAGAAGTCGTTCCTCTCGCCTTGCTAGAACTTCTAGTGCGAGACTTCGACTTCCGCGTTTCACCTGGCTTTTCAGACTCTCCATTGTGGTATCGACCCAACTCTTCTGGGGACATAGGCACCGGCGAGGAAGGAGAGCGTTTGGCAGTTTGAATGTATCGACGCTCACTCATACCACGGGTATCTCGAGAGACATCACGCGATTGATTAACTTTTGAGCTCTGGCTGGCAGTGTCGTCTGGGTTCCGTCTTCCACGGCCCGGGGTATGTGGACGGAACTTCCGCGCATGGTAGTTCGCTTCATCAAGACTACTAATGTATTGATCGATACTACGGCCACTAACACTTGGGCTCCTAGCGGAAGCAAAGCTATTCACCGTCGAAGCGGTGCTTTTGGCGCTGGGAATCAAATCGGAGCGGTCCTGCGGATTTCTTTCACCTTCCAATGTCTCGATTTGAAGGCCGTCTGGTTTTCGATCTCGGGACCCGTTACGATGATCATCATTTGTGAGAGCCTCGAATACACCGGCAGCTGGTGATGGAAGCCCCTTGATTGCGGCAAACTTGTCTGTCCCTTGCACAGCAGTCTGGGGACTCGGCTTGAGAGAGTCTAGATCGGGGTTGTATTTCGCAGCTGACAAAGTGAGGAATCCGCTGTCGCTCTCCTTCTCATCTTGGCTCTGCTCCCGTCCGCTCATTTCATTTTCGGAGGTCGAGCTATACTCATTCTGGCTGTAAGAATTTGACCGGGAAAATGTTGGAGGGTGCACATCCACTGGTGTCTCTCCGATCGAGGGTAGACGACGCCGATTGAAAGAAGGAGTATTCGTTCGAGATGTCATTGCGTGATTCAGGCTTTGGATATTATTCAGTTTATAAGAGCCAAATCCGCCAGGGGACATTGCCGACTCGGGAACGGCAGATTCAGCAATCGGAGTGATTCCAGGCGCATTTGTTGGCGTGCGATCATCAGACTTCAAGCCAGGGAAGCGGAAACGCCCTGGCTGCCCTTCAAAGGAAGTGATGAGCTTCAAGGCTGGTGTTTTCACTGCAGGTTTCGAGTTAGATGCGGATCTTGGCCGGATAGCTGGCGGCATCATATTGGCTTGCGAAGGTTCGGGCGAGGTGAGAGGAGACGCGCGAACCATCTCTGCAAAAGATGAAGTTTGTTGAACAGAAGGAGATGACCATTGCTCTGATGATTCTGCTCCCGTGCACATGAAACAGCGAATGGCAAGTTGTTGCTGGGAGTGAGTAACGACATGTTCTCCCCATCGACGAACGAGATATGACTGGCGCTGCCAGTCCGACGGGAACAGCAGACATGTCATGAGGATAGCTTCCATGAAGTTATTGCGAGAAACGTAAACCTCAATGGCGTCGTTGCTGTCCCCAAGACCAAGCAAGATCGCGGCCGAGGTGTGTATGTCCCCGATCTCAAGCAGCTTCTGTACAAATGCCTGTCCAACCTTGTTTGCCTGCGCTTGGCCACTCATCTGACTCAAAGCAAGGATCATCCAGTCAGAGATTGTTACCTGTCCAGAGCTAATCATCGAGGCCATTTCATCTGTGTCGTTCTGACCGAGCCATTGCGTTAAAAGGATAGCACTTTGACTACCCACGGCGTGGCGGCTCACTAGGAATTGTCAAAAGATGTCTCCAAGATAAAAGATACGGGGTAATACATACACTCATCTGTGATCAGATCTTGGATATCTCCATCCCACCCAAAAACAACACTCAGCATCTGGAGGCGAAGATCATCCGAAGTTAAATTTGCCTCATCGATAGGTGGCTGCTGCTTGTAAGGCACATCAATCAAGCGAGCCCGAGTGAACGGGAATAAATCCACAATGCTTTTGTCAGCAGGGCTGAGATGAACCTCATTCCGCAAACGTGATGCTGCCCTCGAGCTTCTCATAGATGACATTGAGACCGAAGAGGGATACGCAAATGAAGCAGAAGCTTGTGGTGTGTCGTGACCACCTGATGTCATTGAAAACGTTGTGGCACTCTGGCCAGAGCGACTCGGCGGAGAGAAAGGCCTCATATTATACTTCCCGGAGGATGCCTTCGAGCTCACCGATTCTGTCCGGCTACGCGATGAAGCAGGGCTCGTCAGATCTGCCCTCTGCCTGAGACTCTCAATACTGTTAGCGTCAAATGGTGTTCGCCTGGTCGCGCCTGGCGGTTCCCGGATGTCAGGAGCGTCTTGTAAACGCCGCGGGGACATTGTTCGTGCTCGACTGCCTTCTGCTGTGCCAGGCCGAGGGATGATTGGAAGATGTTGCACATTTGCAACCATTGCGGGGTTTTCCAAATCATACTGCTGGACCGAGTGCTGAGGGCCGATAGTGAATAGAGTCGCTGTAGGACCGTAGTTTGCGATGCCTCGCACACCATCGATGGTGGGAATTGGATCGTAGGTAACATGTTTTGTTCGAACATCCCAAGACCATGTTTCACTATAACCAGATGTTAGTAAATTCCCTGCTATTTTCTCGAATCATTACGCACCCTTCCAAGTATTGCACCAGTCTTCCGTTCTTCGACCAGCCCATCCATTTGGGATCAGAGGAATTTGAATCAGATCGTTTCAATACCCTAATTACTCGAGGTGACTCTTTCCCTGGTGGTTTTGCCACGCTCCAAACTCGTAGATCACCATTCGATGACTGGGTTGCCAACATGTCTGACTTCTGTTTTGATGAGGATGCATGCCAAGCCAAAGAAATAATTGGCGATGGTCCACGCGAAGTAGTCAAAGTGTGAAGAATGGTAAATTGAGGAAGTAAAGTCGCAATCAATATAGACCCATTTTGATATCTGAAGCTTCATTAGCTTTAATGTTCTCAAGTTACTCTCCTGCTATCCCACATACCCAATTGCATAAGTACGACAATCCATGGCGGGTGCCAGAGCTGTGATTGGATCGAAAATAGTGCGGGCAGAGATGTGCTCCGAAGTGGGAGGTTCGAACAGGATCACCTCACCCTTGCCATTGCCTGTATTTTGAATCAATAATTCGCTCAAAATCATGAAATATAAAATACGATATAAGGCTCACCAAATGCAACATTGCCATTACGCATCCACGAAGCTATTCGCAGATGATCGAAGGAAGCAAAGCGGGCAATCTCCGTTCCAGTGAAGATATCCCAGACAATCGCTGTCTGCCCTACATCGTAACTGACAACCAATCTCCCTGCACCCCGTTCGCTGACATTGTCGACCGATATAAAATCAATGTTTTCCTGATGACTCTGGAAACGTCGCTCGATTGCCAATGTATCATGATGCAAACATAGGATTGTTGAGCCCTGGGCATAGAGGAATAGGGATGCTGTCGAAGCGCAGGCCTCGAAGCGAGGCTTGACAGCTGGCGGCGCAGGTGCCATTGCTTTGACAGTCCTCGAGGGTCGCGATTCTGTCCCCAAGCTCCTATTCCATGTCAACTCAACCATTATATTTGCCCAACATATGAGACGATTTGCGGGGAAATTGATTTACTAGCCCAAACGGATTCATTCAAGACAAAAGTCCCGAATGATATATACCCAGGACAAGAGGGAAGATGAAATGAGTCTAAACAAAATTGGGCCACTGACCTCTGTTTAAGCCAGGTAGATTTCTAATCGGCCACGACCCTGAGTACCGGTTAAGGTGAAAGACGGGAATTTCTAGGATATCCCAAGGCGCATCTGGGTCGGGGAAGGGAAATTAGCGCCTGACAAGGAATTTGACCGAAATCAAATAATCCCAAAGATCTGGGCCCTATAAATGAAAAGGGTGAGATGCAAGATATGTAAGAAATATGCGAGAAGGCGAGAAAAAAGGAGGATGCAAGCCGTTGGAACAGGGGAGGGGAAAAAGAATAAAAAAGATAAATAAGATATTCAAGTGTGACAGTTAAAGCACCAACTAGGAAATTGAACTCGCTTGCACGTTCATCACAGCGTGACGGAGGGGGCTTAAGTTTTGTGACAGGAAGTAAGACTGGTCCTTTCGTCTATATAATATACATATAAGCAGGCGCTGCCCGAAGAGCAAGATGAATCAGAATAACCAGAGCAAAGACAAACATTCCCAGAAAAGAGGGGAGATTCTTTAGTCGATCAGAATAAAAATACGAGACTAACTGATGTACTGGTTGGCGCTCGGGGGAATTACTGGGCGCTTTCATTTCCTAATTGGACCATACATATGTCCTGTTTCTGGCCTTAGAGAGTAACCGGGGCATGATCCGGGATTAAAAGCACCATATTCAACATATTATTAGCGGAGACGGTGAGATCGAGCCTTCTTGGTGGCTGGGTTATCCTGCGGGAATTGCACCAACGAGCATGCAGAACCAGAGCAAAGAAAAAGTTAACCCAGTTTAGATCAAATGCAGACAGTACCCGAATCACGGACTTCATGAAGAAGAGAATCCCTGGCCCTTGCACTATCTTTAGTGTCCTGCACGTCGATCACTCGGAGGCAATCCAACCAGTGGACTTTATATGGTTAAAAAGTACGGAGTACTATATAACCCTAACAAAAACCAACTTGACCAACTTGATATTTTCTCAACTGCAAGGAACCGCCCGATTTCCAAATGATAGAGAAACCTAGTAATATACAAAATGGAAAAAAAAATTAATGTGATCCGAGACAGCAATGTGATTGGGATCCGTGCTGTTGTTCTTAAGCTGCAGCTTCGTCACTTCACCCAGCCAATCAACGTTCATCACTGCTGATCGCTCGGCGGCTACACCACCACCCCTCAGCCAATGCCTGCACTTATCCAGCCATTTCATGATGGCCTCCAATCACTAGAAAATGGCCTAATTTGGCTTCATTGGGTCCCTCTCCTTGTCCTGAATTCGGAGAATACCGTTCGGAAGTTTCATGTTTGAACTAGTGTTTCCGACTATGACAATCTCATTTCTTTTTTTTTTTTACCTTCCCACGAGGCTTATATATGAAGTGCGGAGTACTTCAAAGTTATTCTGCATTTTGGTTCCTGTGATGTGACAGTAAATGCAAAGATATGCAGTCATCCCTGCAAAAAAGGCACCGTCGAACGTCCTGGAGCTTGGGCCCTGTGATAGTATCGGGGGGCAAGCCGGCAGAGTTTTCAATCGACCTTGAGCAATGAAAAAGGATTTCTAATTCGTACTGGATAAGTGCTCTGGATCAATTCTGATCCTTAAAGTAATACGAGTCACAGGAGAAACCCTACTATACATACTCCCGTACATAGTCAATGTAGGCCAATGGGAAATGCAAAAATGCACACCTACTGTTGGAATTGAGAGATTATATACATTTCCAACATGTATAGAGAAACTAACTATGCAGTTATACTGCTGTTTATATTCCTTATAACCCAGTATATACCGTCTACTATCTCAAAGGTGAACAAGCCGTGTCCCGTTATCATATGATGGCGGGGTTCTTATCGCCTTCCCCGGACCCTCGCTTTGACTTCCAAGGTCAATCTCCCCATTGGAGCTTCAACTCGATGATTCGTTCAAATAAAGTCATTGTTAATCCCTTGTGACAGCTTCCAACTCTCCAACATGTCCAAAGACACAATTGTAGTGATCGGGTCAGTCCAACACTCCTATAATATTTTCGAGCTACTGCGCCCCCAAAAATAAAATCAAAAAGGGTCACAAGACACAAAAATCAGCTGACAAGCTCAACCAGTGCGGGTGTTATTGGCCTTTCCACAGCACTATGCATCCAACAACATCTCACTCCTGCGCAATCCATCCTCCTGGTAGCCCGCGACTTTCCCTCGGAGACTTCCGTCAACTACGCCTCGCCATGGGCAGGAGCCCACTACCGTCCTGTGCCGGGCTCCTCGCAACAGGCCCTGAGGGAGGCAAACCAAGCACAGCGCACGTACGAATTCCTGAAGCGGACTGCGGCCGCTGAGCCCGGTGCGGGAATCAAATTCGTCGAGGGTGTCGAGCACCTCGAAGCCCCACCGCCAGAGTACCTGGATGAGCAGAGTGTGCGCAATGTTTATTCGCATCTGGATGAGTTCCAGACTCTGGGGAAAGATGAGGTTCCTGTCGGCGTAGTGTGGGGTGTGAAGTACGGGACGTATGTGATCAACTCGCCTGTCTACTGTGCGCATTTGTTGCGCAAGTTCGTTCTTAAGGGGGGCGAAACGAGGCAGTATACGCTCGCCAATTTGAAAGAGGCGTTTAGTATGGCAGGGAATGTGAAGACTGTGGTAAACTGCTCTGGAACTGGGTTTGAGGACCCGAAGTCGTTTATTATCAGAGGTATGTGTGTTCTACGATGGGAGTGATGGTTGTGTTTTGGATGCGCTTAAAGGTGTACGTTCTGAATCTGTGTTTTGACATGTTCTCTAGGTCAAACTTGTCTTGTTCGTAATCCCGTCTCGAAGACCATTACTCGTCAGAATACGGATGGCTCGTGGTCCTTCTGTATCCCGCGTCCCCTCGAAGGCGGAACCATCATTGGAGGCACAAAGGAGCCGAATAACTGGGATCCGAACCCGTCACTGGAAACTAGAAAGCAACTCCTCGCTAACGCAACCAAATGGTTTCCTTTCACACCCGAGAGCGGCGGCCAGTTTGATGTGATTCGCGATATCGTCGGTCGGCGGCCGGCTCGAGAGGGTGGTCTGCGCATCGAGGCAGAGAAGCTCGCTGATGATCGATATATCGTCCATGGGTATGGCGCTGGTGGTCGCGGGTTTGAGCTGTCTCGTGGTGTTGCAGAAGATATTGTATCCGTGATGCTTGAGAAGAGGTTGCTGCAGGCCAAAGCCTTGCTGTAACACTATTTGTGGGCATTTGCCGATCGCATGTATTTTTTACAGAGAGCAAGTTGTACATTTTTTTTGAGTTGATAGATCTTACCATGTCGTGCAATCTGATACATAGAAAATGGAAGGCATTAGGTTCATTTGAATGAACGAACTTTTTGCTACCAACAAAATAACAATGTGCTATCAAAAGGTATATCGGCCGTTGATTCTTCCGTCACATGGGACACAAGACTCATAAAGCCTTTGCGCCCCCGTGGCTAGTCAGCCTTGACCTTTTCCTCTGCGCATGACATATGTCGTACACACGTTTAGAGGCTGGAGGGAAAAGGCGACCAACCGAGGCCCTCAGTGATCAACGAGGTTGCATACAAAGCGAGCAGTTTGGGCAAGCGATTGTAGCGTTCACTCGACATCATGATCCGACCCTATAGCAACATGAAACAAATCTTAAAGATTGCATGTCGCCGGGGGAGAAGGATCCTCAAGGGCCCACGAGTCTAGTATCATAAGGGTGTATAGGGACTCAACCCACAGTTTCAGGTGCGACAGCTTCGGGTATACTCGTGGGTGGTAGCACCCCGCCACTGAGTTGGAGAAGACGTTCCTGTTCCTTCTGTTCACGTAGCCTCTCGGTCTCTCTCCGCATAACTGACAAGTTCCAGGTTCCACTGTCGTCTTCGCCCTCCTCGGCCTCACTGTCCTCGTCAGCCCAGTTGCCGCTCTCGAAGAGCGTACGACCGGTAGCCTCCTTGGCCTGCTGTGCTTGGTGCTCGGCGGCCTTCTTGTCCATGCGCTCCTTCTTCCACTTGGCGAAGGTCTCCTCGTTGACGGGTGTCAGCTTACCAGTCAGCTTGTGACGCTCTGAATCCAGCCAGTCCTCTAGGGTGAGAGTGTTCAAGGGCGACTTGTCTTTGAGGGCCTTTTCGGCGGCTCTTTGCTCTCTGGTCTTCAGAATGAATCTACTCATGCTGTTAGTATCACATACGAGGCACACATAAGTAGCGGAAAGATATACCCTGGGGGCAAGCTGTGCTTGTACATGCACTTGTCTCCTCCGTTCGGACAAGTCCAGAACCAACCGTACTTCTGGTTCTCCACTGCTTCAATGAAGAATTTGCACACCTTGTCGGTGGTTGTGCGCGGGTTGCCGTGTTTGCTCATAACGACGCTGCGTAATTTGTCCTCGTCCCAGTCATCCATCGTATCCTTTTTCTTCTTCTCTTCCTCCTCAACCTTCTCATCACGGGTGTCGGTGTACAAATCCCTCTTAGCTGCCTTGCGCTCGACATTAGGGTCGTGTGAGAATTTGCACTTGCGGCCCTTCTCGCAATGACCCTGCTTGAAGAAAATACAGAGGACAGTCTTCGGGTCAACACCGAAGGCAACCTTCTGGACCTGCACGGGCTTGAACAGCTCAAGGTTCTCTTTCTTGGCCCGTTCCGCGGCCGCTTTCTCGGCCTCACGCTTCTCTTTTTCGGCGGCCTTTTTCTTCTCGTCTAGGTTCTTGTTGCTCGCAGCTTGTGCTTGCAATTGTTGGATCTGCTTCTTGGCGGCACCACCTTTTTTCTATATTAAATATTAGGGCATGTTGGGGTATATCACGGGCGGGCTCGCTGTTCGAGACTTCAAATCAAGGCAATGACGTACATTCTTCATACCAAAGGACTTATCCTCAACGGTGGCCTTCTTCTTCTTAGGCTGATCAGCCTTCTTGGGAGGCATGGCGGCAGTTGGGTGGACGTGACGTCGCGGGTTCGGGGAAGAGTAAAAATGTGAAAATGCGCCTGTCCAGGGTGCGCCTCAGTTGCTGACAATGAAATAAAGGAAAGACGCTGATGCGATCTGAAAGAATGACAGGGAGATCCGAAAAAGAAGATATCGAGAGGTGGGCAGAAATGCCAGGGTTGTTGAAGAGTGAAATGTCGAAAACGAGGGGTGTGAGAGTGTGACGGTAATTTTTGGTTAACCAATGACGGTGCGGGTCTTTTTACTACTCCAACGGTGCGAGGACTCGAAATGCAAGAGTAGACTGAATTTATATTTATTTACGTATCATTGTCTTCAATTTTACTTGAGAATCACTATCTTCTTTCAACAATTTTATTACTGGCATACAATGTCAACTTTTGAGTACAACATATGTGCTCTTCACAGTGACATGCGTCATATGCCCACTAATATTTGCCCTCAATACCCACAATAGAGCCCTCGCTATGCAAATACAGGTAACAGCATGGGAGGAAACAATCGAAGGTATATAGAAATAGTTCTATCAAGATAGTTTTATGAGTTCAACATCTTCATTTATGTATATATAGCTTTCGCCTCGAGCTAAAATACCCTAAAAAGAGATATCAAACAGGATACTCTGTGCCTAAAATGGACATCCATAGTATAAATATACACCTATCGTAGGAAGAATATAGTCTAGAGAATATCCTAATTACAGAGGCCACTTAATATCAAGTTGATATTTCATCGCTCTCTTTTATACACTAACAAATCACATCTACATCACCGTCACCATGTCACCCAAGATGGTAGATCAACCCAGGGAAGGTAGCCATTGAGACGTCTCCATAATAGCTTCATCTACAATATACAATTGCATCGTGGACCCTAAAGTCACTGATTATATGGCCCTACGTAAGCACCTGCAATGACAACTCATCACGCTTCATCAATCATTGGGATGTTTTCAATGAGATAGATCTACCATGAGTAAAGGTTGGCCTTGGATCAAAGCTGCCTTGGTCAGAATAGCCTTGCAGTCAATGGATGGCGAAAACCTAAGCAAATCCATAATTCAAACCATCATCCCGTAGGTGTCTTAAAGCACCCTTGTTTTTCGTTTCTGGTCGTCATAGATTTCGCAGAAAGTAGGCATCTCACATTTAAGAGACCTCCTGGATCTTGGCGGACTTCTTGCCCTCAGCCTCTTCGAGCTCGGGGAGGTCGTCCTGCAAAGTTGTGTTAGTAGATAACCTCAGATCACCTCTAGGCGAGCAAACTTACATCATCTTCCTCCTCGGCACCCTCACCACCGGGCATACCGCCCATAGCACCAGTCAGAGCACTGAGGTCGGGCATACCGCCCATGCCGCCCATGCCACCCATGCCGGGCATACCGCCAAGCTTGGAGAAGTCGATGTTGCCTAGGCCACCGGCACCGCCACTGGGGTCACCACCCTCACCACCGAGACCGCCGAAGTTGTTGGCGTAGTCATCCTCACCAGCCTCATCCTGCTCATCTTCATCCACCCACTGCATCCAATTAGTCAACATCCATTATCAATTAGAACGAATGCCCAAGCATACCTTGTCGAAGTTGGTCTTCAGGAAGTGCATCTTCTGCTTGCTCTCGAGAAGGCGGGGCCAGAACTCCTCCTTGAGCTCCTTCTTCCGGAGAACGAGCTCGACATCGCGGTCGGTGTGGTTGATTTTGCTGTTGTCGGGGTCAATCTCGGCAAAGAGGTCCAGGGAGACGCTGTATGTTACGCCCTTCCTGGAGACGCCCTTGAAAGTAACATTCTTCTCGGTGATACTGAGGGTAGCATCGGCCTTGGGGACCTCGGCAGCCTTGATGTTCACGTAAAGGTAGTTGCGCTCAGGGTCCGAGTCGGATGAGCGCTGAGCCCATGTAACTGAAAAGAAATAGAATGTCAGCACCTTGATCTAACTTAGAAATGGAATTGTAGAATTGGCATAGTTGATGTTTCTAAACAGTCTTATACATTGGATAACGTCATAGGAAATTTCACGCAAAATGTGCAATCCTGCGTTCGAGAGCGGGGAAGCAGTAGAATAGTCATAACGTACCTTCGGGAGTCAAAGTCTGAGACATGTTGAATTAGGAGTGGAAAGATAACTGGAAGAATTGAGGAAAGGGAGGAAGATAGAAAACGTGGTCAAAGAGAGGAGAAGAAGTGTAAGAGAAGCTCATTCACGACCTACCTAAGTGCTATGTTGTAGAAACTGGTAGAAGCATGCCTCAGGCCCTGCATATGTGGGACATCTTATTACGTCAGAGCTGACTCAGTTTCCGTTCGCGGCTGGACGCTGAGCGTGGCACCCACTCCACTCCAAGATACAGGTACCTAGTCTTGTACATTGACAGTCGCATCAGTGTGTACTGACTTGAAGACTGAGCCGAAGACCTAGCAATTTTAGTCTTTGAGAAAAGCCCCGCCATACCGTACTCCGAGTGTTGAAAATTGCGCCAACATAGCAAACGAATCAGCCTGCCCCACCTATCTTTAAGACGATGCACTGGGCATGAGCCTTATCGCTGATCAAAACCTCACGCCGAGACTGAACTTATTCGTTGAACACCCCAACGCTTTTGATTTGCCTATTTGCCTTTTCGTCGCCGCTTTCCTGCCCTCTTAGCGCAAAACTGCATCCATGGAGAGTCTCAAGGCAGTATTCTTTGGGCCCGACCCACAAGCTCAGGTAGGCAGGTGGTGTAGCTTGTTAATACCTGGAAATATGACACTAATGAGGTATAAATTGTTAGATGAGAAAATGCAATGCTTTAATACGCACAAACACACGGCAACTCGATCGTGATCTAGCCCGACTAAAAGCCAGTGACAGCCTGACTCGCCAGCACATTGTCAATGCCTCTAAACGAGCTCAGCGAAACCCGTCCCAGGCCAAGCAGGCTATCAATGACACCAAAGTCTTTGCAAGGGAGCTAGTGCGGATTCGGAAACAGACCACACGGTTGAATACCAGTCGAGCTCAATTACAGAGTGTGGGAATGCAAGTCAATGAAGCCTTCTCGGCGCGCAAAATCCAGGGCAGTCTTCAAAAATCAACTGGGATTATGAAGGATGTAAACACACTTGTCCGACTGCCCCAATTATCTGCGACCATGCACCAGCTGTCTTCCGAATTGGTCAGGGCAGGCATTATCGAAGAGATGGTTGATGATGCTACCATGGACCCTTCGGTCTTTGAAGATGAGGAAGATGAAGCGGAATCGGAGATTGATAAGATCCTACAGGAAGTCTTGCAAGGCAAGCTTGCCCAGGCACAGCCCATCACGGCACCACCTGTGGCCAACATCTCAGAGCCGGAATCTCCACAAGCCGAGGAAGAATTTGAAGATCAAGAAGCCACTCTCGCGCAGATGCGCGGCCGGTTGGAAGCTCTCAAGAGCTAGTCCATGTTGCAATATCAGAGCGTTACTCTTGTTTATTTGTTATTGAGTCGTCTGTTCCATGACTCGCGTTTGGAGTTGGTGCGTGTTTTTCCATAGTCTATTCTCCAAGGCTCCGCCTGCACATAATGGATTTTTGCCTTTTTTTTCAAAACAATCCAGATTGATCCCACATTAATTTTTATAATGGGACAATAAGAAAAGGGTAAAGATGAGATCAATAGGACCTCCCAGCTTATCATTGGGGCTCAATTACATCCAATCAAATTGGTGTGATGTTGTTTGCATCGGGCCGCCAAAACGGGTTTAGTGCAAAATCAGGCTGCGCCAGGTCGCCCCCCTCTCCTCACTCTCTCACATCCTTCCTTTCAGGATTCATCCCTTTTAACTCCATACAAATATCTGCATCATCCTATTTCGAGATTCCACTGTGATCTTGATTTTTTCTTCAAACGCGACTTCAAATCATAGGTCGCATATCATCCACAACGCGTTCGCCCAGCGACTTTTGTTGAACTTGCAAATCGCCAGCTTTGCTTCATCTCCGTCGCAATCATGTCCGCCAACCTCGATAAGTCTCTTGATGATCTGGTCGGCAGCCGTCGCCAGTCTACCCGTCGTCGTGGTCCCCGCCGCGCTGCGGCCAAGCCATCCGCCGTTGGAGGCGTGAAGAAATCCACCAAAGCTACCCCCAAGGCTGCTCACCCAGCCCCTGTCGCCCAAACTGGCTCCAGCAAGATTCTTGTCAGCGGATTGGTTAGTTCTTGCTTCTTTGATGTTTCTATTCATGCGCTAATCTCCTCAGCCTTCCGATGTGTCCGAGGCCAATGTCAAGGTATGTTGATCTAAAGGCTCTCATATTGGCTTCTATTGCCATCTCTTTTCTCGAGAATGTCGTGGCGCAAACGATTTCGACCGGCCTTCCGACATCTCTCTACCTCCTCCCACATCGATGGATATTCCTCGATGCACGGCACACACAGTTTACTCCTTCTACATGTCTCTGCAAAAATATATACATTGCTGGCGCTCTGCGAGACAAGAAGTCGAGCTGTGTTGTAGTACGGTGAAAAGACGCACACTGCTCGTGTTGATTCCCACACGGAAATCCACCTGCCTTGTTCTCTGAGTACTATGCCGAGGATGATGGATGAAAACTCATCATCCTGACCTCTCTTCAATTCTGCGCATTTCCTTCATGTCGTCTACTTTGAGATCTATACGGGCATCAGCGAGCGCATCAGTGGAACAGTGGTCAACAGGTTCAGAGGCAGACTGAAACCTACGTATTTGAGACAAGAGTCTCAAATCTCTCTGCGAAGAGTCTTGCTGTTATAGGGTGATTACCTATTCTAGTGGCTTAGAGAGGTTCAAACTGTGTCTGACATGGCCCTAACTTGTTGGGATGACACATGTATGGGCAAATGGATTCCAGTTGACAAACTCTGCTTTGGTGGTGGTGATGTGAAATAATGCTTTTGTTGAAGGACTTATCGTGATCGCTTGATGGGTTTATGGATGAAGCGGAGACTCTGTACTACTATGGGCATTTGGTGGCATGTTAAGTCCCTTTACAGTGATCAAATTCGCGACCTGTCGGATGGGGTTGCGATTATGGGGCTATATGTTCCACGTTCCAATTTGGGATGACAGACGATCAATTGATGCCGTGTGCTCGCTGATGCCCTTTCACCTTTGGTCGTCCTCGTTTGCGCCCTACCTTTCTTACGACACTCGAGAACCGCGCTCTCACTGAAATTGTCTGACGAAAATACTGATCGTCTATTCGCGCTATAGGAATACTTCAGCAAGTCTGCTGGCCCCGTCAAGCGGGTTATGCTCACTTACAACCAGAACGGTACTAGCCGTGGTATCGCCTCCATCCAATTCAACAGGGCAGACACCGCCGCCAAGGCCACCAAGGAGCTCAACGGACTCCTCGTCGATGGTCGCCCCATGAAGGTAACCCCTCTTACTCTGACTAATCCTAACTACAACATTGACTGATGTATATAATAGATCGAAGTTGTCTATGATGCGTCTCACGTCCCCGTTATTCCTGCTTCCAAGCCTCTCACTGAGCGCATTGCGTAGGTTGATGTCCATTCTCGCGATCCACATTCACATGCTTATCCATTCACAGTCAGAAGGCTCAGCCCAAGTCCGCTGCTGCCTCCAAGGCTAAGGAGAACAAGCAGACCGCCGCTACTGGCAAGGCAAAGCGTCGTGGTACGGGACCTGCTGGCACTCGCTCTCGTGGCCGCGCTGCCGGCCGTGGAAAGCCCAAGACTGTCGAGGAGCTTGATGCTGAGATGGTCGACTACTTCTCCGCCGATGCCCCCCTGCTGAAGGCATTGCTCCTGTCAACGGCACTGTCCCCCAGGCAAGCGCCAACCAGGACATCGGCATGGCCGACGAGATCTCTTAAACAGACTAACTGTTGCTTCCACTTTCCTCCATCGCGGCTCCTGCATGATACAAGTTTCGCAAATATTCTCGGGAGTTCTTTATGGTTGATGCGCGGGTCATATCTTCTTCTGTGCTCCTTCTGTTCTTCTTTTTCTCGTTGGCTGTGTTTCTCTACTCTTTTTTTTTCCTTTTGCTAGTATCGCCAGGCTTAATTCTTTCATATCTTTTGCAGAAGCCGATGGAGGAAAACATGTATCTACACCCACAAAGGAACATTACAAATGATAATCGATTTTCGAACAATCAAAGTTTCAAAACCTCCGACTCCCTGCTAAAAGAAGATACCGTACCAAACGCCGAATCTGACCCTTATATTCCCTCAGAACAAGAAATGCAGTCTCATCAAAAATCTACACAAATCCTCCACTTCTAAAACACACCAGCCCTGGTCATGACATCATGAAACTGCTCCAAAGTAACACCAGCACTCAACCCGGCACCCCCGTTCCCTTCAAGAATCATATCCTTGAGCAGGTCATCGCCCACGCTATCCTCCTTCAAGTCACGCGCAATGCGCCGCAGATGCGACAGTGTAATGGGGCCATCCGTGCCGCGCGTGAATAGCTGGTATGCATCATCCACCTCGGCAGCCATGGCGTCATCATCACGCGATCGCAGCTTGGCTGCTGCTATTGAGACGAAGGGGCTGTAGGGCACGTATCCGCTTATAGTTGGATCGAGTGCGGAGAGGATCTCTGCGAGTTCGGTTGAGTCTGTGGGTGGGATGCCGAGGGCGCTGTTGAAGGGAGGATTGTCAGTATTTACGAGCTGTAGCTTGGGAGTAAGGAATTGAGAAGGGGGTGGGGTTTGGGGTAGAGGTAGTGTCGATGGTGTAAATGGCCGTAGAGAGACAGAGGTAGGGAGACATACACCAATGCCTTGCGCACATCTTCGCGCGGAATGACTCCCTCCTTCTCATCCGGGAAATCAGCATTCTTATCGGAGAACAAGTGAAAGACTTCTTTAATTTCGTTCTCTTCTTCGGCGCTGATGTTGTTCTCCTTGGCGAGCTTGGATGCGCGTCCGCGTTTCGGAGCTACCGGTGCGGAGGAGCTAGCTGCGCCTCCGCGCTTTTTGGGAGGCTGCGAGGGAGTAAGATTTGGTTGGGTCTTGAGGATACTTGGGATTTCTTACCATATGAGTATCACTGGCAGGACTCGTGGGCGGGCTTTACAGGAGTGTTGCATGGACAAAATGAGAATTTGGGTGAAGGTGGGGAGAGCGGCGATTGCAGAACGATCTATTTAGTATGCATCACTTCAGCTTCACAACTTTATTCTACACAATAATACGCATAATTTAATATTGAAAGCATGTTAAGATTGTACGTTCTTTTGTATCAGGCTTTTGATATGCTATATAAATAACTTTTCTGATCCTAAAGCAAGTTGCACGTATATCGAGACCACCTGCTAGCCCTGGAGGTAGTACTCGGTATATAGTGAGAAATGAGACCGTGTCAATGAAAACCACATTCCATTCTGATGAAGTAGAAATAGCCCACTAAAACATCAAATAATTTCACATCTCACATTTCACATTCATACAAAAATGCTATAGAATATGATCGAAGATGATCGCAGGTACCCTACCGGTGCTGACGTTATCGGATTGGAGCCTGCCCGAGTGCTGCTTTAAGGGCTCTTTATCTCGACTTTCACTTCGACGATTAATTTCTTCTACATCGGACACCCGCTTCATCATGGATGTCTCGCTATATGTTTACGACCTTTCAAAGGTAAGTTTTCCAGGTTTAACAAGCGGTAAATATCAACTAATCTTGAATATAGGGTCTAGCCCGAATGGTATGTTCAACGCGCTATAGAAAGTGATCGGTATCTAATTTGTATAGTACTCTCTTGCCCTGACAGGGACACAAATGGATGCTATATACCATACATCCATCGTCCTCAACGGGGTCGAATATTACTTTGGCCAGGGTATCCAAACCGCTGCTCCAGGCAGTACTCATCATGGACAGCCCATGGAGGTCGTGAAGTTGGGCACCACTGAGCTTCCAAATGAAGTTATTGAAGAATACCTTGGCTCATTGGCAACCATTTATACGCCCGAGGTTCGTTCATAAATGGCTTCAACCGTGGAACTATAGCTAATCAATTCTAGTCATACGACCTTTTCCTTCATAACTGCAATAACTTTACCCAAGATTTTGCAATGTTTCTTGTCGGTAAAAGTATCCCGGAGCATATTATCAACTTACCTCGCACTTTCCTCGAAACCCCATTTGGGCAAATGATGAAACCACAAATAGAGATGGCTCTCAAAGGCGTCACTCAAGGCACCGGGACAGGCCCTGCCCCTGGGCCAAGTGCTCAACCGACCACAGCAAGGGCTGTCCCTCCTGCGCCCCAGCGAATGATATCTCCGGGAGCGGGGGCAGTCCGCATAGTTAGCAATCTCGGTCAGCTAAAAACTGAGCTGTCTGGTGCTTCGCATTCCTGCGCCGTTATTTTCTTCACATCCTCAACATGTCCGCCCTGTAAGGCTCTCTACCCAACATATGACCAACTCGCTGCGGAGGCAGGTGAACGAGGTACTCTCATCAAAGTCGACATCGATGTAGCTCTCGATGTTAGCATGGAGTACAGTGTGCACTCGACTCCTACCTTTATCACCTTTTTGAAGGGCCAAAAGTTGGATGAATGGAGCGGCGCAACCCCGGCCAAACTAGTGGGAGACGTTCGTGTGTTGTTAGAGATGGCACACCCAGCACATCCCCATCGTCAATTACAACTTCCCAGTCTTCAGCGAGAGATTACGACCTTTGTTATGTATAAAAAGGTCCCACCACTCGAAAAGCTTATCCAAAAGCTTCCTGTCGCATTCAAGGAAGGCCACGGTGTCGCGCCGGTTATTGAATTTGTGAAGTTGCGTCAATCAACCACCGGACCTGTCGCCGATATCAGGGTCCCTGATTTGCATGCATTTGCCACAACATTGACCTCCATATATTCGACGCTTCCTAGTGGCAGTCATTTTGCCGTGGTCGACCTAGTTCGTCTTCTTCTGCTTGACCCACGCGCAAGTGGTTACTTCGCTGAAGAAGCCCAACACGCAACCCTCCTAACTCTCCTTGCACCGCTGTCCCAAGACGATCTATCCTCATGTCCATACAACCTCCGCATCGTGGCCCTCCAACTAGCCTGCAATCTCTTCAGCACGCCCCTCTACCCAGAGCAACTCACCTCCTCCTCATCCTCACTCCGCGAGACCTGTCTCCGTCTCGCGACCAACTCCCTCTTAGACTCACAAACCAGCCTCCGCGTTGTCGCCGCCTCTTTTGCATATAATCTTGCCTCCTTCAATCATAACGCCCGCTTCCAAGGAAACCCCGATCCTCTCTCTGAGGAAGATCAGGTAGAACTGACCGCATCGTTGCTTGAGGCTGTTTCGCGCGAGAACGAGAGCGTGGAAGCCTTGCACGGGCTATTGTTTGCTCTTGGGCTTTTTGTTTACGAAGCTCCGATGGATGGATCTCTGATTGATCTTTGTCGCGCTATGGGCGTGGCGGAGACGATCTCTGGAAAGATGGAGGTTCAGGCCGTACAGAAGGAGCCGCTGCTTAAAGAGATAGGAGGATTTTTCAGCAAGGGTCTGTGATTATTGAATTTCTCTATGATATACGATCGGAATACATGTGAAATCGAATGTCTCGAAAGCCTAGTAGTAATCCAATAACCTACTCAACTATTTTCTGAACCATTTTATAGACTTGCGTCTTTGCGTATATCTCTATTGGTGTCATTTGATTGTTCCCCCACCACCTATGGGATATTCAATCAACAAATATGCTCCCTTCCGCTACGAAAGCAGCATGACCAGCGAGTTTGATAGTGGAGACCTTCTTCTTGTCCTCATCCAAGAGCACATCCACAATGATCCGACTATCCCTCCCCATCTCAATCCCCTGGTCAATATAGAACCGGTGATTTTGGCCCTTCTGACCATTCGATAGCGCAAGGTAAGCTCCAAGAGAAGATCCTCCACTTCCACAAGCAGGGTCCTCTAGATCAATCGCGACCATGCGCACACGGAGATTCCAAATCACTAAGTCTCCTTCCGTCCGAGACCCAAGATGCTGGTGATACATGACTCCGGTGAAGGACGGCGACCATCCCTTATCAAGATCAAGGTCTGGACTTCCACCGGGCACGATATTGGCGAAGATATCGGGTCTTTCAGTCAGATCCATCAGTGCATATGTGACACCTTTGACCACGGAGACTACTGGTGATGTCTCTGTTAAACCTTGCAGGTCCGAAACAGCCCTCAGGCCTGCTTGAACAGGAAGGATATGGCTTAAGGTCGCACCCTGTTGGTGGATATGAATATCGTGAGGGACCTCAGCAGAAACAACCTCATTCGCTGGATCATATGAGATCAGAACGGGTCCGGCCTTGGTCATGACAGTGAGGGTGTTTGAAGGATTAGGACCGTCGGCCACTGCCTGGCGAAAGAGAAAGTGGCCAGTGCCAATGATAGGATGGCCGGCAAACTCCATCTCATTGACAGGAGTGAAGATTTCTAGATCACCCGTCGCGGGGTGCAAGAATACTGTCTCGGAAAAGTTGAACTCTTTGGCGATCTGTTGCTTTTGTTCCTGTGATAACTTGATATTGCTGAGCATCACGATGGCGACAGGGTTACCTTTGAATCTATGTAGGCCAATTAGCCACCATTGGATCATTTTCATTGACCTGGTGCAGAGAACTATACCTCTGTGATGTGAAAACATCGAGGGTGACTAGAGAAGAGTCAGCGCATTGCCTTGGTACTATTCTAGATCGTCATACATACCATATGATGCCTTTTGTCCCGGCATGGTTGTGATTATTTGAGAAACAAAAGTTTGTAAGAATTATGAAAGACTTAAGTACAGCCAGGGCTACCGGTGAGTTTGATATTACCAAGCATAAGGGTTGGTGGAAGGTTGATATCCATCGGCTATCATCGGTCTATATACAAGGTCAATACGGGGAGCAGTATTCCAACTCCGACACGTAATCCCTGTTAAGAGTACAAATGAGGCGCAAATAACCTCATCGCAGGGATGTTCTGGAATATGATATGTTCGACTTCACCGACGACATCTCGGCATTCCTCCGAGCCCCACATCGGCTTCGGCTACTCTCGGTATCAGTAATCACACAATCGCCGGATTTAGCCCTGGAGATATCAAAGTCAGGGAAATATGAAGATCTTACAACTAATAACATATCTTCTGTTCCCCCCTCATTATTATTATCATGGCCGATGAGAACATCACCCACCACATTGTCGCTATTGAGGCTGTTCACTGCCCAATCCCGGAATTTAATCTACCAGGGCCACATACCCGCGCAGTCTACCGATGGACCGATCCTGCTGATCTGCACAGTCGCATCAAAGATGCCACAATCATCGTGACGACAACCACACGCCTGACGGCAGAAACCCTCAGCGCCGAAGTCACACCCAAACTCCGTCTTATAGTAATCATGGCGACTGGCACAGACTGCGTCGATATAGCAGCTGCAACCGCACGAGGAATCACCGTGTGCAACTGTCCCGGCTGTAATGTTGACAGTGTCAGTGAACACGCGATTGGACTTTACTTCGCCACTCGACGGAAGTTCATCGAGCTTCATAATGCCACAGTCGCGGTTCCTGCAGATTTGTCGCGTGACACGGAGTGGAAGACGAATGGCTCATTGCTGAGTCGGGTTCGTGCTGCTGATGGAAAGGCCCCGTTGCTGTGTAGTGATGAGACCTTGTGTATTGTTGGATACGGATCGCTAGGCAAACGCATCGAGGCCATGGCAAAGGGTCTCGGGATGAATGTGATTATTGCTGAGCGTAAGGGCGTATCTTCTCGATCGGGGCGGGTTGTGTTCGAAGATGGCTTGAAACAGGCGACTGTGGTTGTTTTATGCTTGCCACGAAGTGCTGAAACTCTCAACATGATTTCTACTGCGGAGTTGGATATTATGTCCCCCCATGCCGTGTTAGTTAACGTTGCAAGAGGTGGAATCGTCGACGAGCAAGCTCTGCTTGAAGCTCTCAAGCGAGGAGCAATTTCAGGCGCGGCTACAGACGTTTATGCCACAGAACCTGCTGGGAGAGGCGATTCGCCGCTGTTAAGCCCAGAAGCAGCAGGGTTGAACTTGGTCTTGACACCTCACCTTGCCTGGTACTCCGAAAAGACATTGCAAAACCTACAGACATCGTTGAAGAGCACAATCGAGAAGTGGTGTGTTGGTGAGATTATCAATGAGGTACGATGATAGACTATGGATTTCAGTCGTTATAAATACATTTGGCGACCAGTGTATTATAGATTAGTAGAGGAGATTGAAACAAGACTCAAGACTTGAAGCGTGCCCAAAATACCCCACTCGATATGATCTCAACTCTTAGCATTCTTCAAATGTTACGAGCACTCACAAATATCCAAGACCCACTCATACTTGCGGCTCTCAACTTTCTAATAGGGCCTATATGCAATACGCGCTGCTACAATATCGTAACCCCCCGCCTGTAATCTCACAGCTGAGATCCGAACCGTGGTAACCTATCATCTTGATGTAACTATTCGATCTTATCCGGCTGCAAGGTTCATTCCGGCTCTTTCATGAAACAATACCGTCTTCCACTCTCCTGGAGTTGATAGAAGCGGAAACCTCCGCATTTGGTATGCAGAACGACTTAAACGTCTATCTAGATTACGTTATATTACGACCGAGAGCACAATTTAGGGATAATATGGTGAAGAGGAAAAATGCCAGGTGGGGATCCAACGCAGCGCAACGGTCGTGGGTGAACTGTGGTCTCAACCCGCGCCCAGGCACAAAACGACATACTGCGGGCAGTCTCATCACACTTATGGGGGAGCCATATGTTATCTGCTTGCAATGTCGAAGATTGAGAGCGGGCGCTTCATGAGATGTTATTTGTGGGCCAAGTCTGTCGGCGATTTACACAAACAATAATGGAAAGCCCGGCCCCTACCGCCTTCCTATTCCGCCACACTGGGGATTCCCGCGGGTCCAGGGGCATCTCAATGCACGGACCAAGCGTTCCACGTGCATAGACTCGTACCTGTCTGCAGCCGCCTCACTTCCATCTCATCTCTCCCTCATTTGTCCCTCCATCATCTCTCAATTATATCTCATTTGTCCCTTTGATCCATACTAAATTGAAGGTTTATTCTCAATAACCATGGAAAATCCTCGCACCCTCACACAACTTGGAGGGACCACCGAGCCCTCAGTTTCAAATGAAATACTATGTGCAAGTTACATGTTTCTCTGGACAGATTTCCAGCTCCAGGCATTGGAAGCTTGCAACTCCTTAACCTTAAGTAGCGAAATCAGTGTTACAGATTCGCCAGAGGGTGATCTCTACTTTGTCAGTAGCGAGCTGGGTCTAACGACTCGGTTTGCACGACATGTATGTGATGCAGTCTCAAAAGCTTTGTCCGTGTCAAATCCACCATTACTTAAACCTTCTACTGGCCTCTATATGATTGCGTCTATATAGTATTTTCATATATCCTATATGTAGATCTAATTCTCGGCCACATGTACGACCCTTATCCTTCTCTCAGCTCTCTATATACCGCTGACAGAGCACGGCAACAAAAAAAACTAGCAGCTGAACAGGCTGAACGAAGAGCTAGAAGATGTGAGGTGTGGGGAGGCTCGGCTTCCGACGGCGATGATATATGCCCGCCGAGTTCTACATCCGGTGAAGAGTTAATTGATATGGTCAGGCCGAAGCTAAAAAGGTGTGGTGCGGTTATTGAAAAAAGAAAGCCATCCATGTTACTATCGAGGATTACCCGACTATTGATGGATGCGCAGGACAGCGACAGGCTTTTAGATTGAATCATCGACGAGATGCAAACGACAAAACTATAGACAATATGCTTGTGCTCAGTGCCTAGATTCTGTATAACATTCTTACTTGTGCAATGAATGAAAAGTCTACGTAACATCAAGCTGCCCGGATTCCTCGGTATCCCGAGCCACACTTCCCTAGTCTGAGCTATAAATCTGCCGCTCTCATGATCGTTGTCTTACGACCTTACGGTCAGCCCCATCCCGGAGATCCCGTCTATTTGCCTTCGAACCGAGAGTCTGGTTCTTGCTCGCAACTACTACAAACGTCACTTGTATTGTTGCCAATTTCCTGGATCCTCCCAACATCACCCCACCCCCTGAAACTCGGGGGCAAGGGGGTCCTTATTCGGGCCCTCTCTACTTGATTTCTTTGTATAGTCGTTTCTCTGCCTTCCGGGGGCCGAAGGGCCGCATAGCGCCCGGACAGGCATTCTGGCCAGAACGATGATATCGGCCAGGAGATCTCCTATTCCACGGTTACTCCCTTCCGCTCCAACAACCTTGAACTGATCTCGGGGATCGCCGTCCTTATCGAGAAGTACTGCTACGAATTTTCAGAACAGGGCATCCCGACCTCTGGGCGTTGCAAGACACAGCTACGGTTGCGTTCACGCCAACGCAGCCTCCGCACATTCGTGACTCTACGTGTTTCATCGGCCTCATTCTCCAGCCATGGGGACCCGACAGCACCATATCTCGCGTTTCAATATCCGAGGAGCAATATATTGTGGCAATTTGTGTTTGGTTAGCGTCTATGAAGAGACTGTGACAGTCTCTTGGTCAGGATGTCATGTTCAGATCCGACAAATTCAATCATCTGACGATATGTCTATTTATTCAATTATCTGTAGTATTTACATAGTCTCTAGTAAGTCCGGATCAGGTTCTATCGTTATGCCTTTGATTTCTGTAATTTCTGGATAGTCCTCACCGATGTTCCGCTTATTCAGACATCGCTCACTAGCACATGCCCCATCAAGCCGGTATGATTTGATGCTTGAAATTCAATATTGGATAATTATCAGATGATAATCTTCTAGACGGAAGTCTCTCCGATAGGCACGGGTATCATCTACTAATGAAATATGATTCCAATCACAATATACCGGGATTCTTCTAAGTTAACAACCAACATAGTAGTGTTGAAAGCATGTGCCCTATTAAATTCATGGAATGTGATGCGCATAGCATTTGAAATACTTTGCCCGGTGGGTTGGTGCAACACATCCATGACAAATACAGTAAATGCAGAATAAACCAACAACGGTGGCAAAGGATAGTAATGTTAATAGCGAGGCGACCATAGGGCGACTATTCACGGGCAACGAGGCTTCCCCGGAAACGCCAACTACGTAGTATATACTATATAGGACCTATACTCGTGGTGTACAATGAGTGAAGCGGTAAAATCCAACACGTACTACACCAACACGATTTAGGCGTCCATATTTAGCACCAACTATACATTCCTCAGTTATAATTATTTTATCCGCAGCCGACAAATCCCGCCCAGAAAGAAGCCACCAAGATTCGGGGAGTTGGCACCGGAGCAACATGGAACCCCCCAAATCCCCCAAATCCGACCAAAGCCCGCCTACCAACAACCCCAACCGTAATCTCGCGATATTCTCCGATGCTAATTAAATCCTAATATGCGATGTACGGAGTACATATAAAACACCTAAGATAATCAATAATATCGCCGCATCGGCGATTACTAATTATCAAGGCTACCCCGATCTCACTGTTGCATTTCAGCATTTCAGCAACGACAGCCAGGGACGCGTGTCATACATGGACTGCAATAAGCTCTTACAGCCTCACTGTTTCGGGGTTCCGGGCTCTACATATACTTCACGGGGTGAGGCGGTTACTCAAGCGGGGAACACGAGGCGGACAAGGCTGATGAATGTTGGGTATTTCTAATATTTCTATTTCGAGGATTTGCTTTTGGGGGCAATACATATGTATACATACCAACGTGGCAAGGACTTGGCCGGGGTAAAGAAAAGGGATATAGATGTGTAGTTAGGGGATAAAATTACTCCTTTTAGTTTATTTTTGGATTACTCCGTGATTTGGAAGGATATTCTTATTTGAGTATGTGGTCAATGTGTTGGTTCAGGCTACCTAATGTACTGAGAACGGCTATTGACAAATGTGATGCACGTGGCGCAATATTCCGATAACTGATCGCAAAGAGCGCTATTGGAAATTGGAAATCACAATTGTGTCGCAGATAAAAACAAATGGTGGGGGTATACAAGATTGGGGGGTATCTGAACAATGCGCTGGGAAAGAGTTCGTTAAAGCTGAGAATGGAAAAAAAGAAATCATCAGTAACACCGGGTCCCCATGGATGCAAGCCTGAGGGTAGGCAAAAAACAAGGTCAAAGGATGACCGAATCAGGCGCTGCAACTCCATGTAAGAACGTGATCCCTGTGGGAATAACGGATTCGCTAAAAAGAAAAAGAAAACAAAAAAACAAATGCGAAAGTTGGGAAAAATGAGTCAGAGAGCCGAATGAACCAGCGGTGTGTGTAAAGGAGATGACGGAGGTGACAAGAGGTGACAATGCCCAGGTGGGATTTCTGGAAGCGCCGACAGCGAGAAATTAGGTAAGCTGCGCGGGGGTCACCCCCGGGCGAGGTCGGCCCGTGGGGTTGTATTCAAATACCACCCGGGAGTGGAAGTTTAGATGTGTGGCTAATTGATCGACCATGGCATGTTGCTCGGAGATTGGGTCAAGTGTGATTCCCGAGGTCGCAGTTGTGATGAGGTGAGCTTCCGCGGGTATCACGGTAGTGAAAAAAAAAAGGGTAAAATAGAGATTAGGCACCGCTTGATGTGGGTCTCTCTCTCTCTGCACTCCCGGGGAGATGCGGGGGTAGAAATTAAATGATAAGGCGAGATAATGACATGATTGTGAAGAGAAATGTGGCGTTTTTCGGAGAGCGCCTGCGCTGCACCGGGCATCACCGGTGAGCTTATTGACTGTGCACTTTCGATGCCGAATGAGCACGTCTTTTGGGAGTAGGCACAACTCGGCGCTTCTTGCGCTTCGATGTCTCTCGCTCTGCCACAATAGTCTGCTTTGCTGTTCGGAGGGCTAGGGTTGCTCGTGCGTGGGCGTCGACCTTGGCGAGGAAATTGGCCCGATCTTCTTGCTCGGCAATGGCGCGCATGCGTTGAAGTTGTTGTTCCATCGTCACTGAGCAGATGGTGGCGTCTTGGTTGATTGCCTCCTCCACTGCTTTCTCGGCGCCCGAGTTCTCTGGCATCCACAGGAGATCGTCATCAGAGAGGAAGGCGCTGGCGCATGAATCGGTGGAGTCGTTGCTGGAGAGGGAGGGGCGGTTGGGCCAGGAGGGGAAGGCATATGCTGCTCCCATCTCACTGGAGAAAGAGGACTTGCGTGGGTTGATATCGAGGAGGGAGTCGCTTGGAGTTGGTGGAGGGGCGAAAGGACTTGACATGGAAGAAGATGCGCTGCCACTCCAGGCAAAGGTGGGTTGTGCTGGATCTGTGCTGGCGAGAGGAGCCGCCGCCTTGGGGAGCGACATCTCATGTAGGCGTGACTGAATAGGAATCATGATTGCGGTGTTGAGCAAGAGTGAAGTGTTGTAGAAGAGGGTTGGTAGTACCAGGGCCCAGTGGGTGAGAGTGATAACAGGTTTGAAGGTGAAAGATAAAAAAAAATGGAGAATGAGGAAGAGTCGAGGGGTGTTTATCAATGATCGGTGAGGGCACACAAATATAGATATCAAAGATCAAAGCCGGGGAAAGACTTCTAGACTTTCCGACACCCTTGCAGTTCGAGAAATTCAAATTCTCAAAAAAAAAAAGGAAAAAGCAATAAAGAAAAGCCCAAGAAAGGAAATTCAAAAATAATAAAAAAAGGATAAAATGAATAAAAGAATCAAATCAAATCAAATCAAATCAAATAAATCAGAACAATCAGGCGGAAGGAGGTTTCCGCAAACAAAGGGCTGTCGATCCCTGGGTAAAGAACCTTGAAACCTTGGGAACTGATCGACCCAAACAAAAAAAAAGTAAAAATAAAAAAATAAAAAATCCCAAAAAGGAGTTTTATTTTTTATATTTTTCTATATTTTTTGAATTCTTTTTGTGAAGATGTGTATGTATCAGATTTCTGACACACGGGGGGAAAGATCGGATCCCCGGTTTAGCGCTTGATATTCCACCCCCCGAGATCGGGTCTGGAGTCTGACAAAAAGATATTTGTAGTATTCCAGTATACTTCGTACTTTGTAGATGTCGAGAAATCTGATATCAGCAACTGGATTTCCCAGTTCCCCCTTGCGGCAGATCGGTTTCCCAGAAAGGGTTGCCCAACAATCTTGGAAAGCTCAAGATCTGGTCTGATCTCAAAATCGGATTGTTTGGAGTATTTCCCAGTCCCGATGATAATTCTCCAATGATCATGCCTCGGATTCACCGCTTCGTTTGGGGAAGCAAAAAAAAAAAAGAGTTGAAGCTGCAGGCCTAACTGGAATTTGCAGCCCTAATCGGATGCACCCAAACACGAATCTTTTGAATGCCTGAACAATTTGGAGGAATCAGGTTTGGCGTTTTTGGCGGTCACGATTCAACACGTCAACGTTAACACGTTGAAAAAAGGGAGTCAAAAAGTTGAAGAGAAATCAACACGGGGGAAAACGAAGCATCCTCGTTCTTTTGAATCAGAAGGAAATTTCCCCGTGTCTCCACCTTCGGGTCAGGTCTAAAATCCGAAGGATTCCATTTTCCAATCTAGAAGCCTTTTAGTCTACGATCTACTCCGTAAATGAAAAGGAACGGCCAAAAGGATAGGGAACTAACGGCTTCCGCTACCTCGGAACTTATCCCGCCTGCTACCCCCACGGATAAATGCAGTTCCTCGGCAATTTTTAATTTGCCGTCAGATTGCCGTTCTACTAACGGAGACTACGGAGTAGTAGATATTCCCAGATGGTTCTACTAAAATCCAACGAAATCCTCCCGAGTAAAGTCCGTCCAATTTCGCACAAATCAGAGGTCCCTCCCCAGTCCACCGAGGCTCTAGTGGCTTTCTCTTTGTTGTAAAAAAATCAATAAATTGATTAGTCCCTGAGTCTAGATCTTAAGTCTAGACCACTTAAAACAAAGACGTTTCCCATCTATCAATTCTTTTTAGAGATCCCCCGGAACGTCATGCTAGCTTCCGTTGAATCTGTCCTTATATCTTTTGATTTCTGATGCACCAGATGACTTGCTTGATGCAAGCCTAGCGTCTACGGGGAAGAATGTGACGCCTTTCCCCGGAGTGGATCAATCCATCATCCTGGGTGTCCCGACCAATTTGCACTCTCCCGTTCGGGCGCATGATCACCAACTCCATATGCATCATATCCAAAGGACCTTATGTGTATACCTTTTGACCGCAAGAGTACCCGTACTTTGGCAAGTGTACATATCTAATTCCCCGACACCGCCACATAGGAATATGAATTTCAAATCCTCAACGCCTCCTACTCCATAATTGATGCTTCCGCGTCCCGACCCGTCGGGGAAGAAAAAAAAACAAAGGGGTCAAGCCGGGGGGAGTTTACCCAGGAAATCAAATTCGGATCAACGTGACAGCTCCGCTGTACACCTTGCAACCCGGCTAATCCGTACTCCCCTCGCAATGAAATCATATATAGTTCACGCGACTTGTGAGAAGCTTGCTGGGGGCCGAGGTTCACTATCGATATCGCGCGTCGCGTTCCGGTCTTCCCCTGCCCAAGCTTTCGGTGCTTCAATGGAGTTTCCACGCATGCACTGTTACCTATACCCTGGGTTTCCTGGTGGAGCTCAATCGTTCCCGGACTACTTTGTAGGGTTCTAGAGCTTCTGTACTCCGTACAAAGGTATTTATTTAATCCAACAGAAGTACATTAATCTCCCGGAGAATAGGTTGGGCACAAAAGTTCTGTTTCAGAGAGTTGGTCTATCGGCTTTACTTCGGGTTATGTTTGTCTCCATGCAGCTTTACGAAACTCAACTTGTGTCAGAGACCCAATCATACAATTTAGGTCTACATACACATATTTGGGTGGCTACCCTTGAATTCAAGTACTCCGTACTCCCATACAGTGTGAGCGAATGCAAGGCTGAAGGGAGGTTTTGCATATTGAATTGTCTGGCCAGCTCTGGCCCCTTTGTAAAAAGTGCTTTGGAGCTTGGATCCACACCGGCCCCTTCCAGCCCTTCCCGGGTTTCCCTGCAGCTTATAAGATGCACCTCATATGCAGTTCATATGCAAGATCTCTGAACTAAAATTGCAACACAGACAGGTCTGTTCTTGCATACATAGTAGAGTAGTACTGAAGAATAAAATTAAAGAAGAGGTTGGATATTGAATCAACATTCTACAAGGTACGGCAGATTTTAATGGAGTACTCCCGTACTCATTATATATTAACTTGGACCGAGGTCTATTGTAAATGAGAGTAAGATTATTAATATAACAGAATATAATTAACTAACTACCTAGGTAGTTAATGACACCTGTTCTCACCGACTCAATAGCCACAATTCCATATGTACTTGCCAGTCAAGTTTCGCCACAGCTGCACGAATTTTAGATGCAGCTCATCCAGGGTTGACGCCGCGGGCACTAAACATAAAGATATTTTTGAACCATGGAAGATTCATCCACCCCATGGGGTTTCGACCCACATTCCGCTAGCGGAGATTTTATAGAAAAATGTGAGATAACACAATCTGCAAGTACGGAGTACGGAGTATGGAGTTCTTCTTGCAGTGTGAGTAACCCAAGGGCCCTTCCGGGACATCATCCGCGGCCTCGGCTGCATCGATCGACAAGGGTGTGATGGTAGTGGCTGGTTGACGGTGTACCCGAGACGTGTTCATGAGGCGTGAGTCGCCCTCAACTTTCATCATATACCAGATAAATAAACGCCCCCCTGATTCATCGGGACTGTGCTTCGCATGGGCTAGATTTTTCGCACGGATAGCACAGTCGTAAGCCTTTCATCTAGACCGACGCCGACATTGTGATGATTTGGAGATCAGACAGCCCATCTCTGAGACCGCTACAGCAACCATCGTCATTGGATACAAATTATAACCTTCATCTCTCCTGCTGACTCCAATCAAATTATCCTATCTGAGTCAACTCAGAACTTACCCTGTATCCACTCACATCCTGTAGATTAAAAAGGATATCCGCCTTGACCGATATTTAATATTTGCGATCGGGTAATATACGATCGCCACGGTCGCTGTTCCGTGGGGGCGATTTAGGAAACCCCCCAAGACGGAACAAACATTAGCCAGAAACCAATTTAGCCAGAGTATTGTATCTCCGTTTCATAAACGCAACTCTCCTATTCCACTCCGTTCCTCCGACGGCCAGTTTCGAGAACATTTCCACATACCGTAATGCAATTCGTAATGCAATGTGTAAAGCCGAAGAAGAACTGAGGAAACTGCAGTAGGCCGTGAAGCCTTAGTAATATTCTAGCGGACGGCGCGTCTTCGCGAAATTCTTTGACTTGCCTACTTCGGCCTAGCTAGCAATCACTTTGTCCTGTGAGGCCGTTGCTCCTGTACAATGCCGGGCATGAATGCTTCGGGCGCGTTGACGTTTCAATCTGCGCTGGGTACTGACAGTTCCGCGCTCTGCGCGTTTAGATGTTACGGTGGAATTTGACATGCAAAAAAGCAACATCCTGGTCGTACAGGCTGGCAGCATCGTATGCCCGACCGAGTGAGGATGGGTAATATCCGAACAGGGTCATTGATAATCTTATCTCGTGGTCGCGTTGACCCTGACGCTAAAGTGACATGGGTTCGTTGCCTGGTTACTTATCCCCGATGCACAGGTCGGATACATGGACTGGCGGTGAATTGTGTTTCCTTCCCTATTTGGCTCTTTTGAAATATGCACCTGAGCTTGGGCAGCTATTGTAGATGTTTGCGAGATAAGTGTTGGGGACTTTTGTTGAGGGCTGCTGTTGGGCTATGCGAGATTGTTTGACTTGGTTCTGAAGGAGTGCCTAGGTGGCTTCATATCTCTCATCTCTCTATTATCTCCAGTGCCCCCTTTTGTGCATACAAAGCTAGCAAAATAAGTTTTGGAACATTTTCACTATTCCTTGAATGAAGTGGGGCACAACACGCTTATCTTAAACTAAGCTACTCCGTACTCCATACTCTGGGTATGTACTAGAATATTTATGGATGTCACCCCTCTCCAAGTTATGATATAAAGGCAAAACTATCACAAAATATCATGTCTCTAGTTTAACATCCTTGGCAGAGTGTATTCGATCAAAATTGTTGAATCAGACTAGGTTGAATAAGTGACCATTTTGGATATATATATATATCTGTCAGGTCCCCAGGTGCTTGGGTGACTATAGGTTAGGTTATTGAAATAACTGAGCAGTTTCGAGAAATATTTAAAGTTATTCGGAAATTCCCCTCATAATCACCATAGAGTTAAGCTATTCAACAATCCAATCTCTACTATTAAGCAACCGTGCACTTCTATATGGCCCTCTTTGTACGGAGTAGGCCTCTCTTATTAAAAACCTCCAGGTCTATTTATGGATCCATATCCATACCCCTTACATAATCTATGCATAATTCTAACCTTGGAAGGTTAAGGTAGTATGTAGTTGGCCCTGGGGGCTAATCTTCAGAATTAGGTACATAGTATGTAGTGATCAAAAAACAAATCCAGGAGCTCGAGGTTATATTTCCTATACGTGTCTGAAAACACACTCGCTAGCACATTGTTTGGAATATGGAAACATCGATATCGAGAAAGAGGTAATCGCATTTGGTCGGGATCAACGACAGTCATGGACATATTGTCTGTCATCTCCATATCTGGAGCGCGATCGAGCAGGGTTCGGCGGGGTTCGGAGCATGTCCACTGAGTCGCTCCTGATCCAAGGTGAGAGAAAAATCCTGACAACGGTAACAGACTCTCTAGCAGACTCCCCGGACTCGGGTTAATGTATGTAAAAGTTTATATCGCCGTCCTCTTGAATTTAGTCTATTTTATCGATAATGACAATAGTTGGATTCGCACAGCCCTGGCATGCCAGTGAACATAGTCTAGAAGTGACTCCTTGGTATTAATTTTAATATTCTCAGTTCTGATACCATGCATTTCATCTTTGCGACACCTAAGCGTCTATACTATTGTATCTCTGATAGTAGATTTGCTAACCATGCGCTGTAGCTAGTAGCATTGCCATTTCCATTTCTTTGCTTACATACTGTTGTTGTTTGCCATCGTTGCTACTGAAATATAACTGTCTAGATAATTTTACTCTATAAAAATACCCAACTTCTTCTTTCTTTCGGTTTTCCTTTTCTCACTGTTGTCAACCGCATCACAAAAGCACATCTGTCATTCTAATTCTCTCCTTCGAAATGTGTGCACACAAACCACAACCCGAAGACTTCGATAATCCAGATGTGCTCAACGCAGTCAACCCTCATCCCAAGTGGGGCTATGTATATGGTAAGAGGGTTTCACTTTTCTTCAATGTTTACTGGCCCTAAATATGTATTAGGTCCAATCAGGAACCAAAACCCTGCCTGGATTCCTCTACCCAGAGGAGAAAACATACACAGAGAACTCGCACAAAATGAGCGGACGCTAATGCTCTTTCGAAAACCCCCTGGCCAGCCATTGAACCTTCTGGCACAATATGGTGGCCTTACGTATGTTTATGCTCTTACAACCACTTCTTAATATGCATGCTCACCAAATAAGCTGTGATGTCCAGGTAGACGAAACCCAAATGTGTGGGAAGACTTTCCAAACAGCAAAAGCTTTTAATAACCACACGTGGAGACATCATCCAGGATGCTGTAAGACCTCAGACAGAGTCTTTGAATGGAATTGTACTAATAAACTTAGTTATTCCTTTCCGAGTGACAAGTTCCAAAATGGAAGCCTCGCACGCAGCAGAAAACATCATGAAGCGGTGGATTCTTACTGGAGGATGGCGTGATGCATTCTACCTCTACGAGCCTGGTCGATGCTATTCCAAAGGTTCTATAGGGCGTATGTGTGACGAGTTAGAAGAGATTGCGTACGTACAGTGACTTTACCAATTGGCTTTGTACTGAGTATATCCCAGAGCTAGCGATTCAGCATTTGCGAACAAGTGGGGAACTCGCTTCCATCGCTGGCACACGGGAACCAAGTATCAATTATACATGAGGGCCGAAACCAAAGAGACCCCAGGAAGTCTGAGCTAACTTTATAAAGAGCAAGGTAATTGAGCCTCCACCTAATCCCGCGAAGGCAACAATGCCTCAGAAGCGAATAACACAGCAGCCCTTGTTAGAAAAATCGAGGTGATCGATCTGACGGACTAGAGAGAATGAATGTCCAGTAGCACTGATTTGGTTTTGATTTTTTGATTTTGTGAAGTCGAAATCAATACAATAATTGAAGGTTTTTTATTCAAGATCTCACCGACAGAGTTGAAACATGTCCTTTCCTACAGAGCCTTTGAGTATAACCCCCCTAGAGAGACAAAGATAGCGAGGGAATAAAAGGCGAATCTGAAGCCTCAGATGAAGCACTCAGGGTTGGAACAAGAGGAGTAGCAGAACAGGGTCTAAGAATCCATCCACGATTACCAACACCTTTGATAGGAACCCAAGAGTGACTTATATACTTCCTTCCAACCTCCACCTGACATTCCCCAAACGCTTTCTCCAGCCGAAAATCAAGTTTGCTCGCCCTATGAACTTGATCCTCGCCCTGGTAAAGCAGCTGTCTCCGTTCAGATACAATTACCACACCACAATCGAAGTCATTCAAATACATTGCTGCTACCTCCAGCCGGAGACTATCCCAGTCTATATTCTCCGGGATCCATTCCTGGACAGGCTGCAAGGTACTTGGCTCATAGACCCATTTGGGCGTCCAGCATTCGAAGTTCAAGGGCGTTCTGATACGGGATCGCCTGTTCCAAAGTATCCATTTATTGCGGGTTGGAACTAGCGTGCTGTCTCCCTCGAGGAGGGCTATGATGTGGCCCATTCGTAGGAAGTCATTTGGACCGACAGATAATTTGGTGAATTCAGAGTCTGATCTTTTGATGATTTCAAGGACTCCGATGGACGATGTCGGTGGTTGTTGAAGCAGCATACGTTTCCAGCTGGCATCTTTTCGTAGGTAGACATTGAGCTTGCGACGCTCCGGATGCCGCAGCGGAAATCTGCTTATGTCGGCAATTTTCGACTCTGAAGTTTGTCTTTGTTTGAGGAAGAATTGAGCCCAGAGGATATCTTCTAGCAGTGGATTGCGAATGCGCTGTGAGGGATCCGAGATCTCGAATTTGGAAGGTTTGAAAAAGAGGGACTCTTGGAGTCTGACTGATGTTCTGATCATGGCATTCCAAAGCCGAGAGACGCGTTGAGCAGATGTTAACAGAGTTCTCATCTCTGTATGCAGAAGAATGTTTTCAAGTATCTCGTTGATGAAGAATATGTCATGTGGCTGTTGTGGGGGATTGCTGATAGACATTGTTGAAGAATATTTCTGCTGTGAATTAGAATAGGAACGACCGGTTTTATTAAGTATTGAGGAGAATATAATATCCATGACCATCAGATGGAAAATGAGGACCCGGGGGACCTTCGGGATCTATACAGATTTGGTTTCAACTCCAACAATATCCAATAATACCCGATGATAACCAACGTCAGAAACAGAAGCAGATTTTGATTTTGTGTCATATTGCTAGAATGCTAGTAGAACTCGGAAAAAATGTAATGGAGAAAAGGAGTCTTCATATACATGTGTAGTTTGATAGTTTGGCCCCCAAGGTACCTACTGAGGTCACTGCACGTAATCCTACTAATAGAGACAGAGAGAAAAGGAGGGAGGGAGAAGCCCTCTGGTAAACGAACAACTACTATATTGTCACCTAATCATTAAGGCGACTATTATCCCATATTTGGGGGAGAGGAAGGAAGAAGAGCTATGTAGATTTGTCCAACAATCTTAGTCGACGTGATTTCCTAACTTGAGAAGATTCTCGACGTTCTTGTAGTGTATGTTATCACGTAGCTTGGATTATATAGCGAATGCATCCAAGTCTTCCCTGAATCCTGTAATCTTGTTCGAACCAGCGTATGTGAAGTCAGATCCTTGGAAAAATGTCAGCAATCTGGCTAAATCCAAGCTTATGTACACAGGCAGCAGGCCGTAGGTGATATGAGCATGAGGAACCAAATCTCGGATCATATTCAAAATAGAAGATGAGCTTGATAGTGCTACATCATAGTAGAAGGGCCGGAAGTCATCTATAATCTCTTCATTTGTTTTACCAAACGTTATCTTTGTGGAGCTAGTTGCTCTCGAAGCTGTCGCAACCCGAGATATTAGGTATGGAAGCAAGCCCCCTGCATGCGAGGGAATTTTTCGGCCAATTAAGGAATTTTTGAGTTACATTGCAAAATGATAAGTCAACCGCAGTACGAGCCGTCTTGTGAGAGTAGTCAATAACTGGCTGCGAAAGAAGGGGATTTGTTGAAGTAGTGTTTACTGAGTGCGTAGGATGGAAGAATACTAGTGTCTTTCGCGCACCTAGTTATTTCCAGATGGGAGTGAAGAGACTGTAGCCTAGATAATTGTTTTCATCTCCATATCTCGTGAACAGAGTGCCACCGTCTGCTCCGAGAACATCTAGTGCGTACTCAATTCCTGCTAGAGATCCAGGTGTATCCATAAGTGATGGATGCGTGGCAAAAAAAAAAAAAAAAAAAGCCAAATGAGTCGGGGTGTTGCTGACGGAGGCTGGCCGCGTACTTATTTACTTACCTGGCTAGGATTCATGCTGATTCTGTATTAGGGGCGATAGATGCACTAGGAGCTGTAAGTAACAGAATTGTCTTCCGGACTCCGTTCATTGCCATGTTCTGCAAGGATGTTTTAGGGCTCCGATCTGGGATTGGCTAGCCAGATGGATCTCCTCCAGCTTTTTCTAGGGCTGCAGTTGGTCATGATTAATTTCTATTTCCAAGTGCTGGTATACGAACCAACCCTGTATACCTGAGGTAAGAAATGATGATCAGTGTCTATTTTATACGGTTATTCTGGCCAGGCCCTAGCAATCACAGCACCGCTAAATGCAACAATACTGACTAGTATGATGGCCATTCTGATGGTTCTCTTGTATGTGCCTGGGGATTTTGCTTTACAGACAAGACCGACTCGATGTCCTTATATGCCATGGCCTCTTCAGCCTGCTTGGAACTGCTGCGAGGCACAACAGCCAACCATAGTCATTGTCGCAAGAGGGCCCCCATCTTTGATAAATCCAGACCGGATTCCGGCACGATCAGGCTTGGAGCGCTCTTCCCCATACTACATGCCCCGCCTTTTCAGGAGAGGAGCCGTGAAACGGAAGAATGATATTCCCATAATTTAGCTTACGCTGAAATGAGGTATGACGTGTGCAATAGCCTTCCAAGGGTTTTAAGAGGTGCCCTCAGCGAACGGCCCCAAGAGCTACTACCCATGATGCATAATTCTACCAGGGATGTTTATCATCTCCGCCATTTAGAGGTGCTCTACGGATAACACGGCAATCCGGCATTGCTTAGCCAGAAAGTGAGGAGGCTTGCTACTTATTGCCATGCTGACCCTTCCCTTTTTTCAATTCCTATCGCACTTCTCCTTGTTACCTACCTGCGCAAGTCCAGCCTCTTCAACATAATGAGTGAACACGCCTTTGACTGGCTCCGCGGAGATGCCATTAAATGGGGCCATACGCCTCCAGTGAACAAGATCGATACCCACCACCACTTTGTCCCTCCGTTCTATGCTAAGGGTAAGCTGGTTTTTTGAAAACCCTTGATACCAAACTAACCGTGTCGTAGCGCTCGAAGAGCAAGGAGGCGATCCCAGTGGTTGGCCTACGCCCCTTTGGAATCCTCTGGCTTCCAAACTTCTGATGAAGCATGTTGGCGCGCGGACTGCCATACTCTCTGTGACAGGCCCAGGCGCCTGTATCCTCCCAGACCGTCAGCGCCGCGCTCAACTCGCAAGACAGTTAAACGAATATGCCGCCGACATTCGTGACAAAGAACCTGAGAAATTTGCCTTCTTCGTATCATTACCCGACATTCTCGATACCGAGGATACCCTCGCGGAGATTGCGTATGGGCTAGACACCCTCCACGCCGATGGAGTTACCCTATTCACTCGCTATGGTTCTTCCAACACCTACCTCGGCCATCCAGACGTGGAGCCCATTTGGGCTGAGCTCAACAGGCGAAGCTGCGTTGTGTTCATTCATCCGACGCACCCAGTCGATACCAATACCATCAACACAAAGCTCTCTCAGCCAGTCGTCGACTATCCCCACGAAACAACCCGCACGGCAATGGACATGATCGTGAACGAAACACGACTCAAGTACCCCGCCTGCAAAGTTATACTCTCGCATGCCGGCGGAACCATCCCATACCTGATCTCCCGGGCCTTGACGCCGATGAAAAACGCACCTGGTCTTGTAGCTTCGCACCGCATGGGCACAACATATGATAAAGCCATGGAGTCATTCCGCAGCTTCCACTTCGATTTGGCGCTGAGCGCGTCACCGCAAGTTCTGGATATGCTGATCAAGATGGTTCCGCATGACCATATCTTGTACGGCAGCGATTTCCCGTATGCTCCGAAAACTGGGTACCCAACGTTCTTGGAGCAGTTGGAGAGCTACGAGATGAGTCAGGAGTTGAGGGACATGATTAATTTCAACAATGCGATCAAGTTGTTCCCGCGATTGGCGAACCGGAGGAGCGGAAATCTCTAGTTGCTGCAGTGAAACCTGTTGTATAAATTAGTTTTGCAATGCGCATATAAGTACAGTCACGGAATACTGCCTGGACAAATCTTACGGGAACATATTATCAGAAATAAGCATGGTCGCAGCCCTTACCAGGTTGCTGCTGTTCCATCCAAGGGGATAGATGTATCACGCAACCGACGAAAGGCCCGTCGTGCCTCTATAGTACATAAAGAGGTTGAGCGTAACGCCAAGAGCTTGGCATTTAGTAAGCTTTTCTGCTTGGCTTGGCATGTTTGATTATAGTGAAGCATAGTCCGTTGAATATAGGCGACCAAATAGGTGATTGGTCAATCGGGTTGGCTGAGGGACAAAGATGGAAGGAAGAGTCCGAAGTGGAGTGACATCACGCTACAAAAGAGTAAACTTCCGAGGCAGATTGATACGACTTTTGGGGCCTTATTGTAGATATGGAGTATGATATTGTAGTTAGTTCTTCAGCGAAATGCACATATAATGGTAGACTGGTATAACTCCCGGGTGCTCACTGAGGATATGGCGCAGCAATGGAGGGGTTAGGGTTGAGGGTCGTTAGATAGTCCGGTAGCTAGTCAATTTTGCTTCCTGATAGCTCATGCTTAATTAATTCTTTTCCTCATAATTCCTCGTAGCGATCTGGTGTTATATGCAGTTATCAGTGCTCGGCTAACGACCAGATTATATGACGAATGAACCTACGGAACTACAGACTAAATCCAATCAAAAAGCATGATTTCAATCAGTCAATTGTGTCAGAAATCCCATAATAGTACATTAATTTACACAAAATACTCCCCAGTGGAGTTCAATCAACGCCTCAAATGGAACGTGGTACCGGGTATCATGATAATGCAGTAGTCGGCCATAGGGCACGGCTATGCAGGCAAAGGTGCAGGCAAAGGAGAAAAAAAAAGCAAGAAAACGTTTGAAGAAGCAGGCGATCATGCAATTATGTAATGACGGTAGAAGGCGATTCTAGTTCATCATCCCGTTCAGCATCACGGTCGATCACGTTCGGAATCTTCAAAGGCAGATCGGCAGGAAGGATGTCGTCCATCGGCAACGAGATACTGGTTTCATGGGAAGTAGCAGATTCAAAGTCGGTGACAGTAGATGGAGTGGAAGTGCTTTTTGGCATGGTCAAGTTGCACATTGATTCGACACTTCCGAACTGAGTTGACTCTGCATACCCGCCGTCGTATAGGTCAGATTCTGGAGTTGCAGATCGAGTCGAAAACGGCGAGGCGGAATCATCCACAGCTTCGTAGAACAGCATGAAAGCACCTCCTTGGTTCATCACATGATTTTCACTAACCATCTGCACATCATCGTCGCTGAGGCGCCACCAACGCTCAGACTTGTCCTTATCACCTTCAGCTTGAAGGATCTCGTCCGATGCAGGAGCAGTGAATTCCGAGGTTGGATACTTGCGATAGCAGATATAATGCCCATTCTCATGTCGGCCGTAATGGGTGATGATTGCGCGCAATTGATACTGTCTGCTGGGGACTTGAATTGATTCGCCAGGCTGTGGAAGCATGGACCGCGAGGGGTTTGTTTCCCATTGCTCAGAAGAGTCGCCAGATTTACTGAGAGATCTAGTGCCAAGACACCAATTGTTCAAATCAATCGCCTGAGGAAATGCGACTGCGGCAAGATTCTTCTCCAGCATCCCAGTCATCTCATCGAAAACACTGCGGTTGATATGGATAGCAAGACAGCGGGGAGCCCGCGCAATGACGGCTTGTCGGGATTTCGTAGTTGTGACTCGGTTCTTTGAGTTGATGTGGCACTCGTTTGCCAATGTGCTTTCGCTGAAATCATTGCCGTCCAAAGCCGTCTTGACAGCCTCTAAGCGCGAGCAGGCTGACTGTTTCACGGCATCGAATGGTCGAGAATCGTCGGGGCTGTCTGGCTGGCTCTCATCGGCTTCAAACCCATTGATCAAGTTGATGAGCTGCTGCTGCCGATGCAATAGCGTGCACTTAGCGCATTCCACGCCTTCAATAGCCTCAAGCGTCATGTATTGGTCCAAACACTCGCGAACGTCGTACACAGATCTTTTGCCCAGAGGGACAGTGAGACAGTTGAAAGGTATCATCGAGAGCCCTTCCGTCCACCCACATTCCATGCACCCAACCCGTTGAGCGAGTAGGCCTTCGAGAGGATTCCAAGATGAAATCATATCAAAATAGAGTTTATCTGTTGATGGCAGCGATTCAGGTTCCCAATGCGCCGTCGAACCCTCACAGTCGCTGTCTCGGAATATGTTCTCATCGGGTCCTGCAATTTTCAATCCCATATTCACAGTCTCTCCACGTGAGCACATCTCAGCCTCGTGGTCAATTTGACTAAGCAACTTGGAGAAATACTCTTGGGCATCTTGCTGTTGCCAGCTACTCATGGACTTGAGAGGCCCTGAGATCCACAGCTTGGTTCCGCTTTTGGAGGCACTATTCAGACAGTCGATGAGGTCTAGTAGTGCCTTGTGCGTCGAGACAGAAGCTTTGCCCGAGACGTTGTCCACGTTGTGTCCCAGAAACTCGGCGAGGTATTTCAAAGAAGCCAATCCCTGTATGACGCTGTTCTGGAAACACGAGTTGTTCCAGTTTCCGAGCCCTGGGGGCGTGACATCCTTTGTGTTTCCTAGTAGCGCATTTCCGAAGATAGAAAGCGACTTTGACCGGGAGAAGAAGGGGAAATAGGGCTTACTATCTAAGCCAAAGATCCGCTTCATGGCGTCGTTTTTCTCTTGGAAGGACAAATGCGATGAGGCTAGGGAGTTAGGATCCAAAGCGATAACGATTCGAGAGGGTGTAAAGTAGACGATGAGATCCCAGGGGAGGTAGAATAGCGATATGGGAACAAGTCCGAGGTACCCGAGGAAGGCAGAAATCGAAATGATAGCAAGTAAGATGTATGCTAGTGCTTGATTGTCTTGTAAAATCTCGAAGGCAGTTTCATAATGACTGTAGCGGCTTGCGTACCGATCGGGGCGGTTCGAAAAGATCTCAGAGCGCCCGTCGCGGGTGTTCATTGTCAATAAAGCCAGAAGGATATCTGTGGCCAGAGCAATCTGCCAGCATGAGCAGTAGCATGAATTGATAGAGAATGTGAGAGTGTCAAGACGCGCGTTGAACAGGACAATAAGGTCTACTTGTTTGCGCAGAAACGATGCGTCTTTGGTCGTCTTCGTCTGCCGTAAACTTTTTTTTATCGATAGCGATTTCCCCCACACAAGATTCCAAGGTTGATAATTCTTCCAAATAACCATCATGGCGAAGAGCAAAAGTGAGTCGACTACGAATCCCATATACATTGAAATTTGAGTATCTAATAGTTGAATAGACCAGTCCCAGCGTTCCCGCGCAGCAAGAAGGGCAGCATCTCCGAGTCTCGACCTTGACAAGTCGGTGACTTCGCTGCCCCGAGTTGAATCTCCTAACACACGGCCTTCGATTCTGGCTGACCGCAGCGCCGGTGTCCAGAAGAAGAATAAAAATGACAAGGCTTCAAGGAATCAGCGGTTACGGCATCAAAAGGGAATGGAGCGAGCTGAGGCCGTGATGGATCAATTGGAAATCAAAAAGGCTAAAAGTGTGGCTCGCGGCAAGACCGTGAACTCCCGAAGAGTATGAAAACAGAAATGGTCGTTTGGCTCTGATACACAGTTGCTGACATTGAATTAGGCTGATTGGGAAGATATGAACCGCAAAACCTTCGCGTTCACCGCCCTTCAACAAGATGACGATGACGAGGATGACGAGGATGACGATGCGATGGCCGAAGATTCTGCAACTTCCAAGATTGAAGTCGCAAAGAACATCTTCCAAATTCCAACGGAGGACTCCAATCCCGTAACGGACGATTCCAATTTCGCAACGGACAACACTGCGGCTATTAATGAAATCGACGAGATCACCTGAACAACCCTGGAGCTTGCCTGTGTGATACATGTTGAATATCGTTGGTGGGCTCATTTCCTTGGCCTTAGTTGATTGATCATGCGCTCGATTTCGGTGGCTGCGGGGCCAGATGCTTTAGTGCGGAGGAGTTCCAGGGTGTTAATGTCCTTAGTCTTTTGTGCCTCTTCTCCGGCCTTCACGATCATACCGCACTTCACCCACATCTCAATCCTCTCAGCAGGGGGCAAGTGGGTGCACTTTGGCACGAATCCTGAAGCAAGCTTTGTGTTTCCAGCACCTAAAATCTCGTTGTAAAAAGGCTGTCTTGCATGAGCATCTGTTTCGGTAGTTTAGGATTTTTGACTGTCTTACCTCCCATCCGATTGGGGATTTCTTGAGTTTAGCGATTTCCTCCAGTTCGCCCCAGTCACGTTTAGCCACCAGAGCTCTCAGTCTCAACCACCAAAAGGTTTTTTCAGGCATTTTGAATTCACTTTGCATCTTGTTTGCTCTTTTACCGTAACCACCTCTGACAAGTCTGTAGACTGTCTCGTTGAGACTAAGACCGAGGAACTCGTTGTGGTCTGCCAAGTCTTTATCCAATGCGTCTTGGGCTTTTAAAAGCTGGGAGGCCTCCGATACTAATTTTTGGTTTAGTACCACGGTCGGTTCCTTGGAATCCGACAAGAGTTGAGATGCTAAATGGAGTTTCTCGGTCTGACTTGTCAAATCCGTATCGTGTAATGCTTCTGAAAGCAGTACATTAGCTCCGTCAATGGGTCGATCGTCTTGGTAGAACAGGTCTTTTAGTAGCTCGATATCATCGCCTCGTGCGGCGGTCTCCACAAGTGCGGAAGCCATTGGACGAGTGTTGATCATTCGGAAGAAGCTTGCCAAAGGAAGCTTGCTCTTGAGATGCAGAAGCACGTAGTTCACCAAGTCATCATCGCCACTCTCAATTGCCTTATCGAGAGCAAGCTCATCTTCTTCCATGTTCAAAAGCAGAGGAACTTGTTTGCCTCCTCGTGGTTCATGGTTAAGCAATTGAGTAGCCAGGTGAGATCGACCCTCGTCATAAGCAGCTTGGGCGATAACCTCAAACGAGATTCCCGGCTTTCCATCCAGTCTTTGGACAATAAGCTTGCATACAGCCTCGTCATCAACAGTCGAGACCTTCACTTTTTGGCTCGCCCAATGAACATAAATTTTGTCCGCGGGGATCTGTAGGTATTCCGAAACTCTTATTGCAAGCAGATATTCATGTCGGCTGATTAAACGTTCGATGAGTCCTTCCGGTGTGAGGCGCAGGTATTGTTCGTATGATAATGGCAGCCCGATCTTATAGTCTCTCACTGCTTTGAGGACGCGTAGCTTTTCGGTCATCTCAACAAATTCATCACTATTGTAAAGTTCAAGGACAGATTTGCCAAACGATGCAGCTTTCAACAGGCGCTTCTGCCAGTATGCGTCGAATTCATGACCCGCTGCTTTAATGCAGGTGTCAACTGCTGATGGTAAACTCGATCGGATGCGCTGAATATTCTCATCAGCCTTGGGCGACTTTTTCTCTAATTGGTCTACTGAATCCAGTAGCACGGAAGCCGGAGAAGATGATCCAAGACGGAATATCTCTTCAGTAACACCTAGAAATTGTCAATAACAGTCTAGCTATTTCCTCGAGGTGTTAACTCACTAGCGACCTTGTGCACGAATTCGCATGTGTCATTAGTTATGAGACGAACTCCATCAAATTCAGGTATGACATGAACGCGGCCATCGTAATAGTATCTAGGATGATTAGCTCGTGCTCGCAGATATTGCACAGGATAGATCACTCACTTTGATGCGACTCCGTTGGGCCCAACAAGATGAATTTCATCTTCCCATCCGAGGATTACAGCATCATCGCCACACCAATTCACGGTGTTTGGCGGAACCCGAGATTTTGAATCATATTCGCTGAACTTGTTTTGGAAGTCATTGCTGACTATCCATAGCTTTCCTTCTGCTGTAAAAAGTCCGACAAAGCGCCCCGTTGGGGACACACTAATGTGTTTGAATGGACCATCTTGCAGGATCTTGTCTTCTGCTTCTGTTGAGTCGATCAGAAAGACAGTTTTGTCAACAGCTAACAGAACCTCGACAGAGCGCGAGAGCGTATGAGCTGGTGGGATTAAAGCCCACGATGACACCTCGCCTTCCGGACAAGGTGCCAAGAGCCGTGGGCGCGGCTCATCATATTTCGATACGGCAATTAGCTGGTTATTGGACAGCAATGCAACGAGGCCTGATGACCAAAACTGGCAGGCTCTCACGCCATACTCTTCGGCACCCTGTTACATTGTCAGCTTTTGCACAGTATGGCTAGGGTAAGCAGTCATTAATTCTCACATTTCCTAGAGAGAAGGATGTAAACTCGCCGTCTAATCCGAAGTAACGTCGCACTGTTCCGTCCTCAGAGACCACCAGGAGCTCTTCCTTATCGGACCAGCCCAGTCCACGGATAGTAGCTTGTTCCCACTGAACTGAGTTAGCATATTCATCATGATTCAATCATAAAGTGCAAACAAACGTTTATACGATTGATTTTCTGTCCAGAGCATGAATAGACATCAATTGTGGAACGGGAACCCTGTCCATCGCGAAGCCTGAATGGTTTGCTTTCGTCGCGATAAAGCGCTAACATCGACGTTAGTTCATTTCTGCGATTCTCCAATGGAGACTTACCGATAGCTCCTCCGTAGGGGGCGCCCGCGACAATGTAGTTCTCTAGCTCGACGTCGTCTTCGAAGATGGCGTCATACACGGCGATTTTGCGATAAAAGCTGTCTCCAACCTTTTCCCAGTTTGCGAGTGGGTTGGATGGCATGACTGTAGAATTGATCACAGATGAGGCACTGAATCCTCTAGCTGCTGGATGTTGGAGCTGTTGATCGGGAGAACGGGGGTCACGGGTGCTAGACCTGATCGGGTGGTTGTATCGCCTTGATTATCAGGCGGAAATTCCCCACCACAATCCTCGACTTCTCTTTGATAGTTGCTGCATCTTCATTGGCTAACTTGGTCATATTTTCAAACTATGGATTATACAGATCTTGCTGATATTGCTCAGCAATTATCTGACCTTGAAGTTGCCCTTTTACTGTGTCTTGTCGCCCGCGAACATTGCTTGATCGAGACCACCAGCCACTGTATCAATGACCTCGCCAAAGAACTTGCCTTAGTATGCCAATGGACCCAGAATATTGATATGAGGCCTAATGAAAGATAGATTGGCTCAACTACATTCGATTACTCATATTGCATCCTTGATTGTTCATCTGCAACATCTATCGAGGATATCTTCAATGACGTCCTCACCCCAGGTGCACGCGCAAACTATCGCCCATTGCGCCCGTGGTTAACCACCGAATCAGTATGTTGATATTCCAAGTGTTTTACTATCATTCGCATTAATGCAGGCTAATAAAATTAGTCAAGCAACCGTTCTTCATATAAAAGTTTTGGGGATTACAGCAAACTATCAACTCCAATCTCACAACCCAGCAGTAATGTTGTCAATATTGTGGTCGCCAAAAACTTCAATTTTGTCAGTGATGACATCCAAATGCACATGCTGCAGGTATGTACTCCGATCGATAGCTTGGTAAAGACAATGCTGACATGCTGTATAGTTAATGCGATCCAGGGAGTTGGTTACTGAAAACGGGACGCTGAGTGCGCCTCAGGACTTTCTTTTCATCCCTCTTGTGGCACGAGATTTTGATCAGCTCCGACCACCTTTGAAGTCACACATTGTGAGTATTATCTATGCATGCCATCATTTTGACTCCTTTCCTTTGGCTAATGCCGCGGTAGAATGACAATCTCTTCATATCTCATTTCCACAGTCCGGAGGCTGGATATACCTATCTTGAAGAAAATGACTGGCTTTCGGATGGAAAAGTTTCCGCTTCTTCTGTTATTCATAAGTCGAAGGGCAAGCAATCGAAGAGTGCTACGGTCAGCCCATTAGTAAGTCTGATGTTATTCCAAACTAGTTCGATTTCAGGATGACGAACTGAACGTAGCCATCTAATATTGAGCTCATGAACTTACAGGTGATGGATCAACTTCGAGAAACAAGTGCGTCGGTGAGCACGAGCGCGGAAATCGTTCGATACATTCAAGATATTGTTGTATTTCTGCGACTCAGTCGGGCTGTTGCAAGTGGCGTTTCTGCCAATGCAAATATTCAATTTTCTCGATTTGCACAGTGAGTTCGAGCATATCCTCCAGCAAACCACTTAAATCTTGTTTATCTAACTGGTTTTAATCTACAGACTTCTAGCTCCTCTGCATGGTATCGATTATATGACTCCCTCCATCGTGGCTCTCGCCGCCAAGAAAGTCTTTCGACATCGGATTATTATCACTCCCCCCGGAGAAGACCGCAGTCTGCAGTATGGAAGTAATTTACACGCGATATCCCATATTCTCGCTGACGTGACGCCGGACTCAATACTGGATGGCGTTTTGGCGCTCGAGCCGCCTTTGTAAAGTTACAATACACCTGCTTCGCTATTTTTGGCTACTGCATTAGATACCCAATCAATAATATATGTATTCCAAATTCGTTGGGTTATGATAATTTAATTCGTGGCAAGTCGTGATCTCAATTTCAGTATCCGCGCCTCCAGCAATACTCAAGTCAGTTTACGGCGGTCATGAGTATATTCAGTTCATAAAGAAGCCTGCGTGGGCTTGACTTATAATTCACAGATAAATCGATGTTTCTAATGCTAAGTTGAGACTGTACATGTAGATAACCGCGCCAGCAACACATCCGACAAATATCCAATATCCAATCTTTCACCTGGCAGTACTCGGCCTCAACCTTAGGAACAAGTCTGGGGGAGTATACTTGCCGTCTCCATTTACGTCTCCAAAATTATTTGGATCGGGCGTTAAACATAAATTGCCGTGAACTGCACCAGGGGGCTGTTGTCTCAATGTCTCCATGGCTTTCGAGTGCGTGCGCCACTCAGACAAAACGACATCGATCTCAGTCTTAGAGTCACCGGCGATAGCATCCATCTTGATATCGTTTCTGTCGTAGCCAAAGGGATCTTCCAACTGCGAGCCTATTCCCTCGATGCCATAGAGCGTGAAGATAACAAGGCTGACAATGGGGATGGCCCACCATCCCATCTCATCGACCATGGCAAACGGTAAAACACAACCAAAAAGGGCGAGAACTTGCTTTTGATGAATCCTGGTTCAAGGTCAGTAATTGAAACATGCGCATTAGAGCCACAAAGTCTTACAAGTGAGCCACCGGGATCGGAGTCAACTTGATCGTCTCCATCTTCCCATACGCATCAGTCAAGGTATTCAACTGAGCCTGCATTTGACTAGCACCAGGCGCAGGATACCAGCCACGCTCCTCGCCACGCTTGATAAACCCATCAACGAAGAAGGTCAACTGGAAAGGGAGACCCAGTCCTTCATCTTCATGCCCCTCAAGGCCTGTAGGTAACAGGTTTGCATATTCGGGGTTATAAAGAGTGGATGGATGTGCGTTCAGAACCTCATCGACAGAGCTGTCAAAGACCCAAGCAGCGCCCCATTCGGCGCGTAAATGATTTTTCACGGCATACGGGATAGCCATGAGGATGCGAATAGTACGTTCGATATCCTCGCGCTCTTCGGCAGTGGGTGGTCCCCGCTTTGAACTGTAGCTGTTTGTTGCGATCGTACGGACGAGGTTACGTACGCAGGTGTTGAGTGTGTTCATTCCATTCCGCCCGTCCCAAAATCGATTATAGGATGTTTGGTTGCGGAAAACAAGCATCAGACCTACGACAATGGATAAAGATGGGATCTGTGTGTGCTATGTTTAGTTGCTGCCTCGTCTGGGCTTGATTTGGGGATACATACGATGGTGTTAGGTAGACCGACAGTCTCGAATACGTAAGTATCCAAGTATACAATCAAAGCTGTGAATACAGCATGCAGAAAGACTGGGACTAAGATGGCACCATGGATTGCGCCTTTGATAAAGCGAAAGACAAGTGGCCATCTACCTAACATTAACACATGCGAATGATTGGCAGATACCGATTCCTTAGCTCACCTTCTTGGCTTTGCCCGCGATGACAGCTGATGAGGATAAGTGCCGCGCCGTTGATGATGGCCTTGTATGGTGTTTTGGCGACTCAAGCTCGGAGTGGGTGGCTCGCTGAAGTTTAACCTCATCGTGTTTAGATCCGAGCCAATCGGCTGCAGATTGATTTACAAGGATGACACCCGTGGATCTAATCCCGGGAGACGGTTGTACTCGGCTGATATTTCAACCTTACCCTCGAATCTGGGGGAGATTGAAATCGGGTCCAGGGTTGCCGTCAACATGGAAAGCGGGTCAACGGTTCCGGACCCACTGGGCATTTCTAGACGGATCACGTGATTGCATATACACTAAGTAGTTGGTTACATATGTATCTTTCGACCATGAGTTAACAAGAATATATGCAGAAAGAATAATACAGCTCCCTCAGCTTGGCAGCTTGGCTGACCTCACCTATACCGTAGTTTGAATGGTTCAAATATAGATTCGAGCCAACAAAGTGCAGCTGCATACATGTAGATGTAGGTAGGGGGCAAATCTGACGTACAGACCTCCACCTGCAGGTAGATAAACCTTGGGGCCCAACCCCTCTTCGTCTTCGAGTTTTGCGATCCTTTCAAATCAAACATCCAGTTGGCATCAATGGCTGAAATCCTAGTAATCACTTGCCCAGGAGGCAGACAATCCTCTCATCTCATCCCTCTCCTATACAACAAATCCAGATTCACGCTCCGTCTAGCAGCCCACACCCCCGAATCCGCCTCTCGCCTACAAGCCACCTACCCAGAAGCCGAAGTACAAACATGCGACACATCCTCCCTCACCGAATGCCGCAAGCTTCTCAGCAATGCAACATCAGTCTACCATGTGGGGCCCTCGCTCCACTCCCGTGAAATGGAGATCGGGATCAACATGATCGACGCAGCCGTTGCCGAGAGCCAAAAGCCAGATACGAAATTCAAGCACTTCGTCTTTTCTAGCGTGCTTGGCACCCAGCTTCGAAACCTCATGCAACACGACCACAAGAGCCGCGTTGAAGAAAGACTGCTACTAAGTCCTCTCAACTTCACGATTCTCCAACCAACCAATTTCATGGATGTGTATCCGGCCGCTGCACTCGCCCAAATGGAGAACCCATCTATCGAGTATGTTTGGAACATCTATAATCCAAATATCGCCAATAGTTTAGTTGCGCTCAGAGATCTGGCTGAAGCCGCGGCGCGGGTTTTGGACGAGCGGGAACCACACTATTTCGCTCAATATCCGCTGTGCTCGACGCTCCCGGTATCTGATGCGGATTTTATTAAAATTATTGGAAATCACATCGGTAAGGAGATAGAGATTCCAACTCCTACTTTTGAAGAGGGTGTTAGTAAGGTTCTCAAGCTTTTATATGCCGGGGAGAGCGGGGTGTATAGTGGGGACCATGTGAATTCGGATTTGAGGTGGCCTGCCTCGCAGGGGGACTTACGTCCTGATATTACAAGGGATGAGGCTGAGAGATTGATTTTGTTTTATAATCGACGTGGATTAAAAGGAAATCCGAGTGTTTTGAGGTGGTTGATTGGGAGGGAGCCTACAACTGTTGATGAGTGGGTGAAGGTTCAGTTGAGAAGCTAGTCTTCCCTCTACTTAGGATGGCTGCCAGATGAACTATGAGTAAAAGCTTTCCCCTTGTTTACTTGAATTTGAAGGACAAAAGTGATTCGGAACGTCTGTTTTTGCTCGGGATGCCGATAAAACTTTAATTTTGTTTAAATTCCCGGATGTTCCGATTTGTGAAGATTACCAGCTGAAGAAAAGAAAACCAAATTTAGCACTGTTGTGAAGCCATCCACTTATATTATCCTCCAGTCATAGCCAATAGGGCCACGGGGGGGCCAAGATAAAGAGGGGTAAGAACAGACTACAATCATCTCCCAACTTGATTACTGCAAATTACTATCATGGTCTCCTTACTTGATCTACCGGTCGAAATTCGCCTGATAATATACACTCATTTACTAAATCCAAATGAATATGTGAAAAGCTATCAAAAGCTGGGGGTTCAAGAGCCATCATCGTACGGTGGACCTCTTTGTGCTCTTCCTCGACCTTATGTGAAGCGATATACACCATCTATCCTTCTCCTCAACAAAAAGATTACTACAGAGGCACTTCACTATCTATACCGAATACCCCTCAACCTCTACGGTACTCCCAGGGCGTATTTCTTTATGCGTCAGATGGACATTGCAGAATTCATCAGCGAGCATTATCTGCAGAGAATCCATCATGCTGTGTTGCGACTAGTTGATGCCAACAAGAATTTCGTCCTTTCGCTCTTAGACATATGGGGCGCCAAGAACCGACTAGAACGACTCGATGTCTATCGCCCCAAGAGCCAGACTGATAGTCAACACTGGAAAGTCGTGGAAAGTAGGGTGAGTTATCTCGCTAAGAAATGTAGGATAGCTTCTGATGGCCTTGCTAGCTCTGGACTTTCTCGAGCGTGGTTCCGGTTGTGTTCCACGAGGTCGATCATCCGCTTAAGGTAGAGGCCTCCGGGGCTACCTACATATAGATATGTAGGCAGCCAGGGCAAAAACTACCGCACGAGCAGACGAGTCAAGCCGAACGTATTATTACCTAGTCATAATCAAAATTCGACGGCCAACGAAAGAATATTCCTGATTCATCAGATGTGCCAAGATTCAAAACAACGGCCCAGGTCGCGAATGGGTATCAGTAGATTTTGGGGCAGGTGATAGAGAAAGGGCAAAAAAGAATGCTGGGCCGCCCATGACGAATCAAATTGGATGGAAGAGGCAAGCGCTATTGAACAATGCAAACAGGTGTATATGGAGTGTGCATCCGAAGAAGCCACCGCAGACATGATTCCTTGCAACGGTGACATCGTAGAATGCTCAGATTATAATCCCCCACACAAAGGGTAAATGCCAAAAAGAAGGATAAATATGTATTAAAATGCCCAAAGCCCTTGCTTTCCAGAAATTAGTTTAACTCGAATCGGCGGATTACGGCATCCCTGCTCGGCCATCAAAAGCCAAAGGACCCGAGTCATTTCGTGGAGTCAATGGGTTGTCGTCAGATGTTTCTGAGCGCACCGGCGTGTCGGTTCGTAATTGTGATTGGCGACCAGATGGTACACTGAGTGGCTGCGTCGGTTGCCACCCGGGGATGTTGATAGTGGCGCTGCGGACAAGGTCATCGGTGCTCGAGTTAGGAGCTGGCGAGGCTGAGCTTCGAGTGTCATCGGTATGCTGGTCATCCTGTAGATGGAGGCTCTCAACATTATTGACTAGGTTTTCTTCTTCAGCAAGATCTCCAAGTTGTTCGGGTGGTCCTTCCATGCTGTTGTTTGTTTCGACGACTGAAGGCCCCTCCGTTTCGAGCTGCTCCCCAGAGTCGTTGGATGTCCTATCTTCTGTCGATTCCTTCTCTCGTTTCTCCTCCGAGTCATTCGAGTCATCGACCTCGGCATTGAGATCGGTGAATGCACGGCAGTTCGGGCATTGGAACATTGGGTAATCAGGGGAGTGGAGTAGACGACTGATGCATTTGTAATGCCAGACGTGCGCGCAGGCTGCCATGAACAAACATTGATAGGGCCGCTTCATTATAGTTAGTAGATATAGGATTGGCAGGAAAAGAAGAAGGAACGAACCAAGACAGAGCCAAGGCAAATCGAGCATTCACGACAACCTGAATAATCAGCCGTCTCGCCCTTGCCCAGGTTTTTAATAAGGCTCTCTGTATTTTTGCTGAAATGTTTGTTAGCATCACGCGGCACTCCGGGAAATGGGTAATATCTCACTTGAACTCATTAGGCTGCTGCTGCCACGATCGATTACATTCAATCCGAATCCGAACGCATCGGAATATCATTTCTTCTCCTCCTCGGAAGTCGATACCCAGCTGCACAATATCGCCATCTTTGATGGAGTATAGACGGGACACCATGTTTGGCTGACTCAAGCGCATGTGGTTCAAAAATGTTCCCGAAGAGCTACCAACATCCTTGATGTGCCACTGCCCATTCACATATAAGAACTCGCAGTGTTTCCGGCTAACGACCTTTGATTTAAACCCCACAGGGGCATCCGAAGGTTCGGTCGGGTTGGGGTGAGGTACACCATCACGCTCCGAGTACCGACCGACGCGAATAACACAGCTCTCCGATGGCAGGGTTCGGGCGACTGGGATGAAAGGTAGCGAAGGCCTCGAACTCTGGAGGGAGTCTTGGTAGGGGAAAAACCGAATGGTCGCCTTGGTTTCCGATTTTGAGGGGGTCACCTGCCCATCTGCAGGGGCGCTGGTGGGTCCGATCACATTCTCTTGAGCGGCGCCCGGTTCAGGAGACGGGGTGGACTCCTGAGAGTTGGTTGTGGCGCGCTCTAACGTGCGAGGGGGCGGGCGATGGACGGCCGAAGCACTCCTCAAGCGCGCCATGGAGTTGGGCGTTCGGGGAACCTCGTTGGAAGGTGTAGAAGAGGAAGGCGTAGAAACGGCGGAGTCGGTGGATGATACTTGGCTATTCAGTTCAATACCAAAACCGTAACTCGGGGCGGGCGCAGAGGTGTAGCGAGAGAGAGGCGGGTGGTCAGCTTCAGCTTCAGGGCATGGGATAGCTGTAGAGTTTGCTGTCGGAGAGATGGAGTATGAATTCGAGGATCGCCAGGGAATTCGACTACTCAAACTGTGTATATACGAGCGCTGACCGCTGGGCAAGGACGACGACAGATTCAGAGTGTAAGTTCGTAAATGGCTGAAACGGCGCAGGCGACTGGGGCGAGGGTTGTCAGGGAGGGAGGTGGAGGCGGTGACTGAAGCAGACATGGATTCGATTCTGCGACCATGAAAGAAGGCAGCATGCACAATCAAATAGTGCCTAGAGATTTAAGAAGGCACGTCACAGGTGGGATCTGCAAATGGGCTGATGCAATTCAATGGGGCGACCAAGACATTAGGGAGGTAAGGGGATGATCTTAGAGAAGTTCAAGGTGCACGAGAAGCAAGAAAAACAAAGTGAAACAAAGAGCAAAAAAGAAAGATAAAGTGAGAGTTGGGGAGTTCACCCTTTTAATTTGTGTATAGTACTCCCTCGCTCTCTCCGTCTCTGTCTCTCTCTCCTTTCTGGTATTTGCCATTTGCCATCGGCTATTATGCCCTTGACAGTCAGCATTTCTTGGCAGCCTCGGAGGCAACCTTTGGAAGTCTATTTCCCCGCATACTTATACTTATAATCCATCCATATATACTCTTAGCTTATATATCATGTTCAAAGAGACTTGCTTGGACATAGAATACTATGGATTCAAATTCAAAGCAACCCAAATATGAGAAAGCATCACAATAGCGTAATATATGGACATGGAAAAATCTTGAAAGAAGAATGATATTCTCATATAAGTATATAGGACTAGCTCTATATGCATATAGACTTGACAGCCCTACCTAGATGATCCGAGACAAACTTAAGTGCCTTACTTCATGTACAACATCCACACTAGAAAGCAGAATAGAATGTTAAGTGGTCCATGCTTTCACATTATATGCCGTGCGTATGGAGTACAGAGTACATCATACTTGTCATATCTACGGAGTACTTCGTATACATATTGAATATAAAAAGAGCGTCTATCAAGACATAATCCGATAAGCAAGATAACTAAAAAGAACTACTCCGTAGTTGCAATCATCCAAGACCTTTTAATCTGAATATTAAATATATATGCTTATTCACATATCCCTAATCATGTATATACCATTCCATGTGATACGCTTAGGGGCAAACGCCCCCAAAAACAAATACTAACATGACCCTATCCCATATGTGACTCTATCTGGTGATCATCTGCGTCACTTACAAAAATCACAAGAGCAAAGGTGAGGCCTTCATTGGTGTATTAGTGTTGCACGGACCCTCGGGGGAGGTTGGGAAGTGCACTTTAAGACGGCCCGAGTAAAGGCGTTGAAACCGATTTTAAAGTAGTGATATAATGAAAGTACATATTTAAATCTCTCCCGATTAGAAGCAGTATATAAACAGTACCCTATACGGAGTCCATATAGTAGATATACGTTGTACAACGTACTACTGTTAATATTGTACGTAGTTTGATGCAGTTGATCCCTTTTTTCGGATTGGTCGGCTTAAGAGCTCCCCCGGGGGCTGATGATGTATGCGCTGGAGCTTGTGTTAAAATGGGGATCAAATAAATTGGTTTAAAAAGCCATTATTTGGAGATAGTCAAGAATCTGAAGATGATTAAATATGATACACACAAAAATCACGAAACAAGTCAATTGAAATCATCGACGTATATACATTGAAGCCATCCATGGATTTAATCTCAGGTTTCTGCCTGAGGAGACTAGCTCAATCTCCCTCCCCCTCCCTTAAGAGACTCTTGGAACTTCCTTCCTTCAAGCATCAGGAGGCTTCCCTCCCAAAAGTGACTTTTTTTTTTATCACGCGCTGGTGTTTTCTTTGTGTTCCCTCTAAAGCTTCGCGTTTTATTCGAATCCCTTAATCTCACATCATTCCCCCGTTCGCCTCTATCACCGACACAGGATCGCGCCTGATGCGGGCCTAGCCAGCATGAGTGGAATTGCGAATGCCTGTCTGTCTTGCTTTTCAGCAGTGGACAGATGGTGTCATATAACAGCATGTCTCGGTCCTATCGGAGCTCGCTCTCGAGATGGTATCTACGAAACCACCCTGGCCGATAATGAGCGAGAAGCGGTATCAGATCTTCTGGGCTACTTGGAGAACGTACGTGCTATACAATCATCCATCATTTCTACATACATTTCCCTTCCCTGAATCAGTGTCTGGCACTGGGTTCGGCCTGGGTACCGCCCTGCCCTCCTCTGTGCATCCCATTAACTTCCAACAATGTACAGCGCGCAGAGACCGACTTCTTCCACGGCGAGCCACTACGAGCCTTGAGTACTCTGGTTTACTCCGAAAACGTCGACCTGCAAAGAAGCGCTAGCTTGACCTTTGCTGAGATCACAGAGCGAGGTGCGTATCGCCGCCCGGATGTCAATGATGCAATACCTGACCTTCCGGCTTATCTACAGATGTGCGCGAGGTCGATCGCGATACTCTCGAACCTATCCTCTTCCTACTTCAAAGCTCAGATATCGAAGTTCAACGCGCTGCTAGTGCAGCGTTGGGCAATCTTGCCGTAAATGGTTGGTCCCCATCCCCCTTCTTTATCCCCCTTCTTTATCCCCCTTCTTTCCCTCTTCTCCCACGGTCGCTGACTTGTTGCAGCTGAGAACAAGGTCTTGATCGTCACCCTGGGGGGGCTGGCTCCCCTGATTCGCCAGATGATGTCACCCAATGTTGAGGTACAGTGCAATGCAGTTGGGTGTATTACCAATCTCGCGACACACGAGGAGAACAAGGCCAAGATTGCTCGCTCTGGCGCTCTAGGTCCTCTCATTCGCCTGGCCAAATCAAAGGATATGCGCGTCCAGCGAAACGCGACGGGCGCATTGCTCAATATGACCCATTCCGGTAAGTGATTTCGATTGATTTCATCTGGAAAAGGATTGTTTCGCTAACATGAAGACCAGATGACAACCGACAGCAACTTGTCAATGCCGGCGCCATTCCCGTGCTCGTGCATCTCCTCTCCTCTCCTGACGTTGACGTTCAGTACTACTGCACAACAGCTCTTAGCAATATCGCCGTTGACTCCACCAATCGCAAGCGACTCGCCCAAACCGAGTCGCGCCTCGTGCAATCACTGGTTCATCTTATGGATTCGTCCACCCCGAAAGTCCAATGCCAAGCCGCGCTCGCCCTGCGCAACCTTGCCTCTGATGAGAAATACCAGCTTGAAATCGTTCGGGCGAAGGGTCTCTCTCCACTACTACGACTCCTACAATCCTCCTACCTACCTCTCATCTTATCCGCCGTCGCTTGTATCCGCAACATTTCCATTCATCCTCATAACGAATCCCCTATTATCGAAGCCGGCTTCTTGAAGCCGTTGGTGGATCTCCTGGGCTCAACTGACAATGAGGAGATTCAATGTCACGCTATATCCACGCTTCGTAACCTTGCTGCTAGCTCCGATCGCAACAAAGAACTTGTTTTGCAGGCCGGGGCCGTCCAGAAGTGTAAGGACTTGGTCCTCCGTGTTCCTCTTACAGTCCAATCCGAGATGACTGCGGCAATCGCTGTGCTGGCCCTCAGCGAAGAGCTGAAGCCGCACCTTCTCAATCTAGGAGTCTTCGATGTCTTGATTCCTCTGACAAACTCCGAAAGCATTGAGGTGCAAGGCAACAGCGCGGCTGCATTGGGCAATCTGTCCTCGAAAGGTATTATACTTTCCCCTTAGCGCTCCTTGTATTTCTCTGTCCTGTCATCATCTGCTAACGAAACTGTAGTTGGCGATTATTCGATGTTTGTTCGCGACTGGGCAGACGCCAGTGGTGGCATCCATGGCTATCTTCATCGCTTCCTTGCCAGTGGAGATCCAACATTCCAGCATATTGCCATCTGGACCCTCCTCCAACTGCTTGAGTCCGAAGACCAGAAGCTCATTGGGTATATCTCACGATCCGAAGACATTGTGCACTTGGTGAAGACTATCTCCGACAAGAATATCGAGTCGGATGAAGAAGATGTGGATGACGGTGAGGGTGAAGTCATTACGCTTGCCCGTCGCTGTCTTGAGCTGGTTGGAGCTGGTCCTAAGCAGACCCTGGTGGAAGCTTAAACCTCTGTTTCGTTTATTCCACCACCGTTTTATTTTTCGGTCCTTTCTATGTCATGTCAGCCTTTCTGTGTGACTCTCTTTCTTCCCCCGCCAGGGGTTATTGTATGGACATTAAATCCACTTATTCACTTTCGTCAGCGGGCATTTGGAGTGAACGGACTTTTCTTTTTTTGTTTTTATCTCTGTTGTTGTTACATGTCCATGGTATTTCTTGGCCGGTGCCGCTGTTTCTGTTGTTCTGACGCATACACTGTTTATTCATGTTAGATATGGGCTCTATAATTAATTGCCTGGAAACAGATGAATTCTTCCATTGAAATCGTAGGCGAAGTATGTAGTTTGAGGTATTGTAGTCGAGTAGTTATGTACTATGTACTCCGTAAGTACTATGTACAACCTTCAAGATGTGGATACAAGCTACATTCGGAACAACTTAAATCCGGGCCGTATTATAGCCTCCCTAAAAAAGCTCTAGAAAACTTGCTGCTTTGCAAACTCCGAGAACTCTTCCACCCAAAATTGGCCCAACCCCAATTTTGCAACATGGCTTCCCTACCACTTATCGCCATTCCTGGGCAACGCCTCGGCCCTTTATCCACATATTCTGCAGGACCCGGCACACACGTTCAACAATCCTTCATCTACGCCTCCATTGCCGGTCCTGTGGTTGCAGACCCTGTACAGCCGAAGTCACAAACAAGACCAACCCTCAGAGTTTCACGAGTGATGCCTTCCAAGGACCAAGCAGGCGTAACCCCAGCTGGTCCCGGCGCGGCATCGTCAGTTATGTCGAAGCCCCGCTACAACACCCTCCCCGCTGTAGACTCCATCGTTCTCGCACGAGTGACCCGCGTGCAGAAGCGACAAGCCACAGTCTCTATCCTCGTCGTACTAGATGAATCAGCAGCTCAATCCCAAGGCCAATCACGAACAGCCCCAGACAATGACAATGTCGCCTCCATCCTCACATCTGCCGCCAACCCAGAGAACCACAGCAGCACCGACGAACTGCGCTTCCAGGCACTTATCCGGAAGGAAGACGTACGTGCTGTTGAGAAGGACCGTGTTGTTATGGATGAGATGTTCCGTGTCGGCGAT